TTGACAAATTAAGATTTGCGAATGGAACCATAAGGACTTCAGAAGTGCGACTTAACATGCAGAAGGTAAGCCTGGTTAAGCTCTTGACTATAACGTGTGAGAAGCTGCAGTCAGTGGGGTGTGGTCACATTGCAAAATACACTAGGAAGTAAAATACAGTTTCTGGAAGTAAAAAGCAGTGTGAGTAAACTGTCTGTGTGCAGCAAAGGCTGTATCAGTTTTGTTAGTTTCTTCTTCTCTTCATGGTTATTTCTCTTGGGTAGTTTACCTGCTGTATAAGGGAATCATAGAATCATTGAGTCATAGGTTTGGGTTGTAAGGGACTTTAAAGATCATCTAGTTCCAGCCGCCCTGTCATGGGCAGGAACACATCCCACTAGACCGGACTGCTCAAATACAGTAGGGTTTCTTCTGTTTGGGATGAACAGAAGAATGTTTTTTATTCAGGCTGCAGATACGTTTGAAGTCATAACAGCTCCGTATCAAGCGCTGTTGGAACTCATGAAGCTATTTGGGATATTATGCACATGCAGTACATCAAACTGATTTTGCTTTACTGTCTTGCAGACAATGCAAAACCATGCTGCTGTGTTTCGAACTGGTTCTGTGCTCAAAGAAGGCTGTGAAAAAGTTAGCCAAATTTATGGTGATCTGGCTCATCTAAAGACATTTGACAGAGGTAATCTGATAGAGTACTATAGGAAAAGTGTGGTGTTTGGTGTGTTTTTTAGAAATTATTATTTTCCTCTTCTGAAAACCTTTTCTTGAAACTTTTGCTAAAGGTTTTGACCATTTTGAATCTTTAAAACTATGTTGTTAGAGCCCTGCTTGTTTAAATGTAGTGATTAATAAAGTACTTGATGTTACTGGTCACTTTCTGGTTGTATACATTTAAAAAGAAGCAGAGCCTGAACTTGGATTTAACTGTATAAGGTACTAAATGCTGTTCTCTCGGAACATGATTTGAAGTTGTTCGATTACTAAGATGAACTTTATTAGTATCTTCTAAAAAAGCCAGGGAGTTGCAAAAAGGTAGCAAGACTATTCATAGGTTGAACACTCAAGTTTTAATTTTTCAGCTGAGTAGATAGTGCTGCATACAGATACTGCTATGTCCTGCAGTGTGTCTTAGGAGAACTTAATTAAGTAAAACTGATGATGTACCTTTTGTCCTTTTGTGTATGTCTCTCCAATTACTGCTGTTGGATGTGTGTCCTAACAGTGAAAGTAAAACTGGCTTTCTGGGACAGCCCTCACCAAGCATTGATAAAAGTGTTACAGTAGCTTAAAATGTAGGGATCAAAATGAAGATAGATTCACGTAAATGAACTTGGGTCCACCTTGAAGGTACTTAAATTAAGAACTTTGTATAACTAGCAGGGCTGTTTGGGGTTCCCCCCCCCCCCCCCCCCAAGGGTGGGAAGAAAGGGAAAGCCCTGTTGTCTGGATCTGTTAGGGATCTACTTAGAGAGCTACCATTTAGCCAGATCTTGTGATCTGAAATGAGGTATGGGGACTGAGTTGTAGGGATGATACAAAGCAGGCAAGAATCTATGATGTAATTTTGTCTCAGTAACACACATGCAACAGGGATACCTGGTAGAACTGAACTTTTCCAAGATTCATTATTATTTGTTAGAGTATAGGAATTGTTACTGAGCCTTGCAGGCAATAGTGAATAATTCCATATTGCAGAGTACTGTGACTGCAGTAGGTAGAGCATTGGCTGGTATAATTCTAAGTATCAGCAATAGGACAGAAGTAAATTGAAGAGTAGAACATCTTCCATAGCCTTTTAATATTTTACTAGGTATTGTGTGGAACACTGACTTGGTGGAGACCCTTGAACTGCAAAACCTGATGCTTTGTGCTCTACAAACCATTTATGGAGCTGAGGCTCGCAAAGAGTCTCGGGGTGCTCATGCCAGAGAAGACTATAAGGTATAAATATTTTCTGTGACAATTTTCCTTGTTACGTGTCCTTGGATGGATTATTTAAAAGTTGTAATTTCTTTGAAGTGCAGTCCTCAGAGTCTTGAGTTGGGATTAGTGTAGTATTTGTTTGGGGTCCCATATGCTCTGTTTTATCTGTTATTTGTTATATATAAATATAAAATGACCAATACATGCAACACTGGGTAACAATCCTGAGAGGAGAGTTGTGCCATATGTGCATCTGCATTATTAGATCTGAACTAGGACTATAGTAATAATAAGGTCATGAATGCATAAACAGGACTATTATTTTGTCTTGTGCAAGAAACTTTACCTTAAAGCCCTGGTTAAGCTTTCGTATTTAAAATCTGCCATGAGCAGTGCTAAAATAAAGCTTGCTGGCTATTAGGGGACACATTGTGTTACAGTTGTAATTGGAAACTAATCATGTGGTTGTGAAGTGATTTGCAGATGTAACTTCTGGTCTATACTAACCTAACTTTCTCCTTAGTTACGTGTAGATGAGTTTGACTACTCTAAACCACTCCAAGGCCAGCAGCGAAAGCCATTTGAAGAGCACTGGAGAAAACACACCCTTTCATATGTGGATATCCCATCTGGGAAGGTAGGTAGAGCGTGATGCTTGAGGGTCTTTCTCACTGTCAACAAACAGCTGCTCTCAGACACCTCTTGGTACTGTTGGTGTTTAACAGTAGGCATCTGAGAGTTTTCATGGTATTTCAAAGATGCAGCTGAAAAATCTGGCCCTATAAAAAAATCTTGAGTGGTTTACTTTGTTTGGTTTGTTTTGGGAGGTTTTATTTTGTTTTTTGTTTGTTTTTTTTAACCTGTCCTCTGGATCCTCTTTGTTTGCTCTCCCCCAGTTCCAGCTTCCTTGAATCTACTATGGTGACAAGTGAGAGCACCTCGCTTCCTGAATAGCTGCTGAGAACAGAAAGTGTCACACAGTTCTGTCCCCTAACTGATCCATTTGGGTTTTCTATATCCAAGACTTTTCTAGCTTAAAGAACTAGTAATCTTAGCCAAAGCTTCACTTTTGTCCAAAATGCTTTTTAAAAGTAGTAGTCCTCATACCAGTTTTTGGTCAGGCTTTGCTTTTTAAGGCATTCAGTCAGTAGTAACTCAGTGGAATTTAAGTGTTACTTGTAGGTTACTAACTGTTCATTTTTTATGGAAGGAGGAGAATAATGGAGAAATAGGCTTTTAACATCAACGAAGTAATTCATTTATCTGTGTTAGTCATTCTTATTAGCTAGACTATCTTGTTTAAATAAAAAAGCTTTGTCTTAAAGTTCTTTGTTCTCTTTTACTTCAGGTGACCTTGAAATACAGACCTGTGATCGACAGAACTCTGAATGAACAAGACTGCTCAACTGTCCCCCCTGCTATTCGTTCATACTAGTAACTTAAATTTAACTGTCAGCCCTCTTCTAGAGGGGGTTAGTGTATGTAAGCATAGCACAAGCAAATCAAAATAGTATTGCCACTGTCAATTAATGGAAAATGCTGACTAAACTTCTCTCCAGCTTGTATTCTCCTGTGGCTTACTGTACAGTTATGAAAACGGAATACAGGACAGCTTATGTTCTTTCACCCATCTATTAAAACTGACAGGAAAAACACATGATGTGTCTAAATAAAGTGATAAAGTCTTATATTTGTATTTGTTCGAATGTTATGTATATAATTACCATACTTTTATTTTGGATGTATAGTTATTTTTCCATATTTTAAGAACAAGAAATGCAGTAGTTTTGGACAAGATTGAGATGCTGAATTTTATGAATGGGGACTTAAAGCCAAGCATCATAATTGCTGATGCAAGTAACATGAAAGAAAACAATGCAGTAGTAATTGCAACTTTGTTTTTTTTCCAAAGCTAAAATTGTAAAAAGTGCCATACTGTTGTGCTGTTGAAGAATACAAGATACTTCTACACCAGTTGCTTCCTCCCAAATATACCATGAACAGAATTTAATCTTGGTAGAGATCAGATATTATCTTTAGAATTTCTGAAGCTATTTTTATCATGTCCTGTGTATGTATTTCCTAGACTATATTTTGTCTCGAATCAAGGGGCAATTTTGCAGCTTATTAAAATTTGCCAGCTGTGAACTTCAATATGTTTTAATGCCAAGATGTAACTTGTAAGGTGGCAATAGTGCAGTTGCTAGCAGCGTTTCTGTGAACAGCTCCCTGTTCTTGGAGGACTGAATTGTAACTATGCAGGCTCAGTTGAATGAAGCATTCTGTAATTTTGACTGTTGAATGTTAGTTGGTTTTGAGAAAAAAGTTAATGTTGGAATGTTTCTGCGGGTGGTTGGAAAAAATATACTATGTTTCACCCCTGTAGTGATTTTGCATCTTGTGCCATGGTGTTGAGACTGGCCTGGGAGAAGTGTAGCGTACCAAAGCATTACTTTTGTGTGGAGAGGAAGGGAAAAGGAGACTATATCTTGACTTACTTTTTATAGAAAAAGGCTTGACTGTTTGTGAAGGAGAGAGGAAATAACATTTCATGCATACCGTAATAAAGCAATGTTGCACAATTACCCTACCTTCATCCTTCCTCTGGAACCTGCTGTGCCGATGCCCGTCCCACCCCCGCGCCGCCTTTGGCGTAAGGAAGGCGGGTTCCCCTCAGGCCGGGAGGAACGAAAGGGCCGCTGCGCAGGCGCCGGTTGCCGCTGCTGAGGCGGTGCTCCCGCGGCTGAGGCGGTGCTCCCGCTGCAGCCGATTGGCGGGGCGGAGCCTGTACGGTGATGGACGCCCGTCACACCTTGACGCTCGTCCGGGGCGGTCTCGCAGCCCCGTCTCCTCCCCGCCGCCCCGGCCATGCACCGCTCACTCCGCGCCTGCCGCCGCCTGGGCTGCTCCGCCGGGCTCCTCGTGAGCCAGCCGCCCCCGCGCGCCGCAGTCCCCCGCTGGGGCCCGCCGCCCAGCGCCACTATGGTAAGCACGGGGTGGGGGGGGTGAGGGAGGAGCAGTGACCTCTAACTGCCACGGCCGGCAGCGGCCGACATGGCTCCTCCCACTGCGCCCGCCGGCGCTCGCTACCCTTTGGCGCACGGGGCGGGGGAGCGGGCGCGCACCACCTGAGGGAACGGCGGCCGCGGGCAGCGAACGGCAGCGGGAAGCCGCTGCCGCCCTTCCTTGTCAGGCTTTCGCTGCCGTTTCCCTCTTCCGCCAAGGAGGCTCTGGGGCCGGTTCCCTCCTGGGGCTGCGCGGCCTTCGGGTAGTCCCGAGGCCCAGTTCGGCCCCGCTGTCGCACCCGGATTTGCAGCCCCGCGCCGGCTGTTGCTCCCGGGGCGGGCCGGATTCTGCAGCGCGCAACTGCCCGTCCGGGTGCGCTGCCCAAAGGGCGAGATTTGCGGCGTGAGTACGCTGTGCTAGCATGGCCGAGGAGCGGAGGAGAGAGGTGGCATCCGAGCAAGTAAGCAGGAAAAGTGTTAGTGCTGTGGCACTTTATGCAGAAAGTGGGGTGTTTAGGATTTTATTAATTAATTAGTTTACGAAATTAGCTAATGAATTCAACTGGAACATTGGTTTCTAACTTGTGATATTGATTAAGGGGTAGAAAATCACATTTAAAAGAACAAGCTTCCCAATGAGTGAATCAACTGCATAGTGAATGAAACATAATCTGTGTAAGAAAACCGGGGTCAGGGCATAATATGTAACTCAAACGTTGGCTTGTCAGATGGAACCCTTTTTTATTTTTCTGTTTGGTATCATCCAAGAGAAGCATTATAGCTCATGGCCATCATTTACTTGGTGAAGACCCAGTATTTATGAAAGGCTGCAGTCTTAGAAGAAACATACATTTTTGATCTTTGCTGGTCAGAAGTGTGACCTGGCCTGTACATAGACATTATGAGTTGTTTGGGTTTAAATAACAGCAGTGGTTATAGCAGAATGTTCCTCAGTCAACTTGGAACTCAAGCAGCTGTTGAATTCTTACAGGAAAACTTTTGAATGCCTCTGTTTCCAAGAGGACCACCAAAAATGTACCAGTCATTTTTAAAACAGAAAACCCATGCTTTACAATGTTTGCAGAGATTTTTAAGCAGCAAGAGTTGTTTAGGAACATGTGTAGACACAACCAAATGTGCATGTTGTTCTATGGTATGACTGTTGCGTTGCCTTAACTTGGAGCTAAATCGCACAAGATATTCTAAATGGAATTCCAGTCGTAATGGTCCTTCTTAGCTGATTGTTGTAAAATACTTGGGTTTGGTTTCTAAAGAGTAAATTTCAGAGTTTGTGACTCGATACTATAAAGGAGGAACAGTGCTAAAAAATTGAAGCAATCTTCATCTGCTAAAGGAGAGCAGCTGAGCACAGATTCCTTTTTCTGCCGGCCTTGAGAATTGGTTTTGACATGCTAAAAATGATTATTTAAATACTTACATCCACAAGTTGCTGCATCCATAAATCAGAATGTAATTTTCCATGGGAAGCATTATTGCAACAGGTCTGCCATTTGCCTATCTCCACTGTGTTATGGTGCAATCAGTTTTAGCTGATTAGTTCCCTACAAGGCAAAAGTACAGTTATATTTGTCTAACTACATAAGCTCTGTGCTGTGGGTTCTTGGGATTTTGGAGGGCACAGCATACCTTGTTTTGTAAAGGTGAGGGATAGCTCTGAGCTGAGACTTGCTGTAGCTATGGCAGAAACGAAGTGACCTTGTCTTGTGTCAGAGTTGCTAGGTCTCCTTTTGGCTTCTCCCTTTGCCCACTGGTGGGTGAGCATAGGGCTGACACAACTGTGCTTCTTGTACCCTTCTATAGCAGGTTCCCTAAGTGAGTGGGGTGACTGCAGAAACTGCTCTAGGTACAGAAACTGGGGCCTTCTGCTCATAAAGCTACTCAAGAGGGTGAATTCTGTCTAAGCAGTTAAGGAAGCATGTTTTTTACATTAAAACTCATGACTTCTGCATGCTGTTAGTTAGTCTGAAGGTAATGCTGAATTTAGTTTCATTACTTTAGTATGTAAGAGAAATATCACTTTTTTACCTAATGTCACCTGTTACTCTGTTAATCAGCAAATGACATTCAATTTAAAGCACCTCACCCTGTTAACTTCAGTTGAGTTTGGGAGCGTGTGTAACATGGAATTGGGTAGGGAAGTAATTTTTTTATTTTTTATTTTTTAAAGTTAGGCGGATTGCATTGTTTAAAGGTACTTGTATGAGGAGGTACTGATCTTGTTTATCTTTGTTTCATCATTGTTAGCATTAGCATTAATGTGAGTTTGACGAATCAATTGTGCAACTGCTAGCTTTTTTGTCTAAAAGGCTATGGGTAATTTAACTCTCCATTATGTAACTCCTGGAGTACCTGAAGGCAGAGTATCTCCATCCAGCTGGGAAGCCGCTCAGGACAGTAAAAATGCTGGAAATGTCCCCCACATCACTGCTGCCTTCAGCTTGCCATCTGTGGTGATGCGGACCTGGGCAGGGTGCTGCAGAAAGTCTGTGCTGCTGGAGAGGGTATTCTGTCCAATACCCAGCTGTGCTTCTGTCCAAGATGACTAAGACCTACCAAGCAAGGAGCCAGGAGAATGGATCAAGAAAAGAGAGGAACAGAATGATTTCAGAAGTGGACACCTAGGGAAGAGAAGGAATTGTGCAAACAGAGATGATGCTTGCCTTGTATTCTGACCCAGAATCTTAATTTTCACATCAGGGGGGTTTCAGATTCTGTGGTTTGTCTGTGCATACCACTGTTCAGATATTTCTTCTGAGTGTTTATCTCATGTTCCCTGAACTTGTGCAGACTTCTTGCACCCTCGGCATCAGCTGACAAGGAGTTTCATCAGTCTGCTACTTGTGTGAAGAGCTGCTTCCTCTTCCTTGCTTTGAACCTGACTCCTACTAGCCTAATGTTGTGGCTCCTATTTCTTGTATTGGAAGAGACATTGAGCAGCTAATACCCATCACCAATCTGCTGATGCTTATATTGGCCTCAGTTTTAATTCAATCCCCAAGCTGGCTTTTTTCTGAACAAAAAAGTTGTCTTAAGAAAGCTGCTCCCTACCTTTCATCAGCTTTATTGCCTTTCTTTGAACCATTTTCAGTAATAAACTCTGGGGGGCGCTGAAAGAACCAAATCCGCACAAAGACTTCAGAGGGTAGATGAACCAGGGTGGCCCAGCAGTGTTTCTTTTGCTGTCCTCTGTGTTTCTTAATAGTTCCTAACATTTTTTTTTCTTCCTTTAGCTGCACTGCAATGCTGACTCAGTGCTCTGATAGAGCTTTCCCAAACACTTGCCCCTGATGGTCATGGTTCTGTCAGAGCTCAGCACTTTATATATGTATCTTACTGATGGAGCTGGGATTGGTTCACTCTGTGTATGATTAAGAATTCAAAAAGACTTCTTTCCCTTCCTGAAAACTGTGCAAGAAGGTAGTCTTCTCTTCTGGAGAAGGATGAACACCTTTCTCACAGAAAATTGGGACTTTGCTGACCAAGGCATGGGAAGAGGAAGAGAAACTGCTCTTGCTTCCTGTCCAGTCTCTCAGTCTTTGTAGAGCTGTGTGTGAATGTGTTCACATTATCACAAATGAATGGGTTGTTTCACAGAAAGTGAAAAATTAATTTTTAGTTGGTGTACATTGGCTAAAATCAGTTTACTTTTGCTGTGTTAGATAATAATGCATGCTAGGTGTTTATACATAATACAGAAATACTGCCTTCCATAAATATTGCACAAAATATACCTAGGTGCAGGGTTTGAATTGCACAGCTAGGGCAACTGCGTTCCTGGTTTGTTAGGCTTAAGAAGATAATTAATTGTCAGTACCTTGGTACTGGATTAATCAGTTTCTCCTTTCCAGTATTCTTCGTAAGTCTCATGTGCAGTGTGGATTTCAGATAGGGATTGTGTTACGTGTATGTTGGCTGGGCGGATGGTACCTGAATTCTTACTGTGCTAGTTCTTCAGTTTGGTTTTTACAAAACTAATTCCATGAATTCCAAGATAAGTTCTTCCAAAAGAAGAAGCGGAGTCTTTCATCAGGATGTTGTGTTCCTTACAGTGGGAAGCTAGAGATCTTAAGTCTTGCAGTGCTGCCAGTTACCAGTGGGTCTGCTAGGTTGTACGATGTTAGAAGTGACTTTTAGTGAGACGAGTGCTCAAACTAGAAAAATGTCTTAACTTTGAAGATATAATTAGAAAAATACCTTTGACTACCTGCACGTCTTTGTCTTCTTTCTTCCCCCTTCTTGAACATTTTTCGTAGCTGTGTCTGCTTTCAAAAAGGATGTGCTGTTTACCAGTGTTTGAAATTGTTTTTTTCCTTTTTCTATAGTCAAGTCAGGAGGCTTTTAGGATAGAATTTGATACCTTTGGTGAACTGAAGGTCCCAAGTGACAAATACTATGGTGCCCAAACTGTAAGATCTACAATGAACTTCAAGATTGGAGGTGTTTCAGAAAGGATGCCAGTAAGTAATTCAAATGTGTTCAGTTTCTTCTTTTAAGTATGTTTTGGATGTGAGAGAGAATACCTTCTTCTTAGACTTTTGCTGAAAGTATGAGCATCTTTGACTTTTAATTAAAGTTGGAAATTGCATGGCAAGATATTGTGCTGCAGTAGAAATATTTTTTGTTGTATTTAAATAAATTGCTTTTATTTTATTGTGTTGCTTAATTTTTTTAATAACCAGAATGAATAGGAATTATCCTTTTTTTTTTAAGAAGAAAAACTGGAGTAGTTTGTTTCTATAGCATTATATAGTTTTTTTAATTGAAGATATTTAGTGTAGTATTAGTTGATATGAAGCTACTTTTCCACATGTAGCTGCGCATAGAGCATTAGTGTGCATGTGCTTTGTCATCTACTGGCTTTCCGTGTGCTGAAACATGTCCTCAAAAAGACTACTTAGAAATTGAACCAGTCCTCCTTTTCTGTTAATTTTAACATATGTAATCCTTTTTGATACACAAAATTATACATTTAAACTTATTCTTGTGTCACAGGTTCAAGTTATAAGGGCTTTTGGCATCTTGAAGAGGGCAGCTGCTGAAGTAAATCAAGATTACGGTCTTGACCCAAAGATTGCTAATGCTATCGTGAAGGCAGCTAATGAGGTAGGAACAAATACTAGAGGTAGTTCAAAATACTAGAACTGTCAATTGTATTTTTGTTAAGCTTTTCACATGAAGTTTGGAGGCTGGGGGAAGACGACCTGCTTTTCTCAAATTGTTAGAGGAAGGCATTTATTGTTACTAAATTTTGGTTTTCAGGTTGAGAAATCATTTACTTCATATGTTTTACTATGTTACTTCTCATATTTACATAAATGATGGAATGTTCAAATGTATATTGATACTTAAATTATAAAAACAATGTAATTTTCCCCTTTATTAGGACTACTCATTACTTACATAGTGTTGACTCTTACCAGATTAACAGTATAAAAAAAAACCCCAACAGCTAAGAGAGGAATACAGTCTTTGTTCATTCACCTAGTATGAAGTCCGACTTGCCAAGCAAAGCTTTTTTTGTTTTGGAAGTCCTCAGTCGTTAAGCAATTGGATCTTGGTAATGTGAAGAGCATCTGCAATCTGAATAGTTTGCTGCTAGTCCATTTCCTCTTCAGACTTAAACTTACTAGTAAATCTGTTTTTTAAGTATCACTTTTATAGCTAAAGAGGACATGATGCGACACACAGAGGCATCTCCTCTTTCTCAGGATAAATGCCACCCAAGTGCAGAGAATTGTGAATGACCATTATTTGAGGTATGGTAATACCAGGCGTGTTGCTTTCTGTAAGTTGACAGATGTGTTTATCTTGAAGCATTATTTTACAGAGCTTTCTCATTCTAACTAGCTTAAAAGTCTTTCAGTATTTGCAGAAGCTTAATACTGTTTCTACCAGCTGTAGCACTGTAAGTCCCAAAACCCAAGAGCTTTGGAGAAGCCCAGAACATGTTCAGGCTCTTCTTGTGGTTTCAAGGGATCTCCTAGTTAAAGAGGGATCAGAAGTTTCAGTGGCTAAAAGGCTACTTACAGAATCCTAGAATGGTTTGGGTTGGAAAGGATCTTAAGATCATGGCTTTACACTAGAACATGTCCAAGGGTCTGTCCAACCTGGCCCACCATGACAGTCCTTGATGTAGAGTTTCTCTCCAGCATCCTTGTAGGTCCCCTTCAGGTACTGGAAGCCTGCTATGAGGTCTCCATGCAGCCTTCTCTTCTCCAGGCTGAACACACACTCAATCCATGTCTGCTGTCCATGTCGCTGACAAAGATGTTGAACAGCATCAGTCCCAACACCGATCCCTGAGGGGCGCCACTCGTTACTGGTCTCCAGCCAGACACTGAGCTGTTGACCACAACTCTGCCTGTGGCCGTCCAGCCAGTTCTTTATCCACCAAGTGGTCCACCTATCAAATTGATGTCTCTCCAATTTAGAGACAAGGATGTCGTGGGGGACAGTGTTGAATGCTTTGCACAAGTCCAGGTAGATGACATCAACTGCTCTGCTCTGTCCATCACTTCTGTAGCCCCAACATAGAAGGCCACCAAATTGGTCAGACAGGATTCCTCTTAATGAAGCCATGCTGGCTGTCACCAAGCACCTTGTTGTTTTTCATGTGCCGTAGCATGCCTTCCAGGAGAATCTGCTCCATGATTTTGCCAGGCACAGAGGTGAGGCTGACACAAAATTAATTAGTGCCAGTACTTAGCTTAGATTCATGAGTTCTGAAAGTGGTTTGTTTGTTTGGTTTTAAAAATACCCCTGCAGTGACATCCTTTCCCCTACCTCCAAAATAACTTTCTAATATAACTTAAAAAGGAAGAGGTACAGCAAGGAATCAAGTTACTCTTGGAGGTGGGAACTTTGCTCCTGTATAAAATGGGAAATACTTAAGATCCTTTCTTGAAAAGTACAATTCCAGTAAGACTGGTGTATCCTGTTAAACTGGAGATAGTTACCTAGCCTCAGAGTTGTGACGACAGATCCTCTGCTTTACATTCTCAACTTTTCTGAGGCTAATATGCATGGTAGCGTGATGCTTCTGAGTACAGATTCTGATACTACCTAAAATACATATTAAAAAAAATGATAAATGCATATAAGTTTCAGTGGGCTCTAAAAAATATAGATCAAACAGGAGAGTTGTTCTGTTTTGATTTGAGACAGTAGTTGTCATAGCCTGTCTGTAGCAGATAAAAGTTGTTGTAGCTGTCTTTGGCTGATCAGGACCCTGTTTCCATGAACAATCAGCAAGTCAATACATACAAATCTTGTTAAGTCTATGTGACTCTCCTGTTTATATGTGTAACATACTCAGTTACAGTTGAGGCACAGTAAAGACGGTCATGAGTCTTTTTTAGGCACTTCTCAGTTTAAAGTCACACAGGTCCAGGACAGTACTAGGGAAAGTATGCCTTACATGAAGAAGGTGTTTGATAGCAGCAACCATCTGCTGGCTCATTTTGTTAATGCAAAACTTAATGTCTACATGTATAAGAAGTCTGGAACCTCCCTGTATGAAATTTATTTCTGGAGAAATTTTAGAGTCTGATTATACAAATATTATGTACTGCATGTGCATCTCAGATTATTTTTGCCAAAAACACCTCTTCTGGGGGACCGTTTGCCACAAGGAATGGACTTCTGGGTGCCCCTGATTGTAGTATAGTTGTGATCAGTATTCATGATGAAACTGTGCAGCTGTTGAGCCTGATTTCATGGGAGAAAGCAGCATACCCATGATGATGATGAGTTTGTAAACAGACAAGCACTGTCCAAAACTTGATGTTTCTGGCACGCAGAGGATGTTCGTAACTGAAGGAGACACATAACACTGAATCAGTGTCCTGAAGCGCCTGCTCTGACTGAGAAACTGCTTAACATGTTTCCCTTGTCTGGGATATCTTACTGACCTGAGAAATAACTGTGGCAGGGAGAACCAGCTCATACTACCTCTAGTCCTACCCAGGAGGATTAGAATCCCAGTTGCTTTAAAATTTGGGAAGGGAGTGACGTTTTTTGACTTACAAAATCATCTGCATTGTTTGCGAAAGAGAAGATAAGATCTAAAAGACCTTTTAAAAATCTTTTCTATGATGGTAGAACATGAAATTAAATATATCTTTGTGTTTCAGAATTCAGCATCTTTGAAAAGCAGAGCAAAAGTTTTTTGCCCTTTTAATATCTGGTATTACATCAAACTCTTAATTATTCTGGTGTAAATTCACAATTGTTCTGTGTAGATTTACAAATATAATGGAGAACATTATTTTAATTATAGCTATAAGGTGTTCAGATTTATGATTTTAAATTTTTTTTTTTGTTGTTCCAGTAGAACAACTTTTCTTTTTTTTCCATTCTAGGTAGCTGAAGGAAAATTAAATGATCATTTTCCGTTGGTGGTGTGGCAGACTGGCTCTGGAACTCAAACCAATATGAATGTCAATGAAGTCATCAGCAATAGAGCCATTGAGATAATGGGAGGCACACTGGGAAGCAAAAAACCAGTGCATCCGAATGATCATGTTAACAAAAGCCAGGTTGTTACACTTATATTATACTTCTTTTGATGTGAAAAGTGTATTTTTGCTCTAAATTGTGAATTTAAATGAAATTCTTTTAGAGCCACTGTTTAGATTTTGGCGAAAACAGAGTTTTGTGTACAGCCTTGGCAACAGCTTTCTGGGTTTTTCAGTTTAAAAGAACTTTAAAATGTTCACTGGTGACAGCATGAGCATTTTATGTCAGAAACTTTCAACTCATTCATGACGTAATTTCACACATAGTGTAGTGGGTAGAGGTATCCTTGTGACAACCACTGCTACTGCAAGCAGTCTTAAATATACACCCAGCATGTAAAAGTTGGATACTTGCAATTATTATCTCTGTATCTACATTGCATAGAGCATGTAGAAAGAATATAATAGTGGTTTTAGTCCTGTAATTGGCAAATGAAATATCCATTTAATTTTTTTTATTTTCCCCAAGGATTGTGGTAAGCGATTTTATTACATTTCACTCTTGATACTTCCTTCAGAGTAGCTGAAGTTTAGGCCACTGACTTGGTTGTATTCCTTCCTGATCTTTTATGCTTACTCAGTATCCTAGGAACTAAACTACATTTAACATCACCTTACATTTATATTTAACATTAACAAATCAACACATAGGTGTTTCAAAGTCACCTATAATTCCTTTAAAATCATCTATTCGTCACCTGTTTCTCCTAGTAATTATTTTTCTTTTTTCTTCCTCTCCTCTCTCCTCCCCCCCATATTGTTGTGAACAATCTACTCAACTGAACTTTCTGTAGGTATAGTTATAAAAAGTTGATTTTATCCTTAAGGTACTGGATTAGAATTTGGAATATTTTAGTCTTCCTGCAGATTGACTTGTGGAACACTCCAAAGTTGCTTGTTCTTAGTTTCTTCTTGTTTACAAAATAAAGAGAATAAAGCCATACATGTACATCTTCTAGCAGTAAGGGGAAGAAGAGCTTGTAACTAAATTTCTTGAGCTTCTTTTACAGAGTTCAAATGACACTTTCCCAACAGCAATGCATATTGCTGCTGCCCAGGAGGTTAATGAGGTGTTGTTACCTGGACTAAAGAAGCTACAGAATGCACTGGAAGCGAAATCCAAAGAGTTTTCCCAGATCATAAAAATAGGACGCACTCACACACAAGATGCTGTTCCACTTACGCTTGGACAGGTAAAATCCCAAATTATGGGTTTGTTTGGAAAATTCTTATAAATGTATTGGAGGAAATGGAGGCAAACTTGAGGATGCCTTAATTGGCATGTTAAGATAAATCACAGGAAACTGGCTCAATTTCAGTCTAAGTATTTTCATCTTTAGCAGAGTTTGGATAATGCACTCTAATAACTGCAACATAAATTTTCTTCATTTTTTCCTTGTGTCTTGCTTCTAACAGTAGTAAGATATAAATGATTTTTAAATGATGTTCCATTACCAAGTAACACAATGTGGTATTTCTATTAATGATGACATGCAAGGGAGAAGATAGGTAGTCTGACTGGTAAATTTACATAAATGAGATTTTGCCCACACAAAACTAGCAAGTATTTTGAATGAAAATGTTTAATACATGATCTTTATATGTATATGATAGCAAGTTTTTATTAGATATTGGCAAGAATGGTTTATATTACATTAATTTGGTAATGAATTAACTTTAACTGATAAAACTCCATGTAAACTGTGGATTTATCCAAGAACGCTCAGTTAGTTTTTTACTAAGTAAAATTCAGTGAACAAAGTCCAAGATCTGCTTCTCTATTTGTCCTTTGAGAACATTAGTTTAATCTGATTAACATGGATTCAGGTCCTACTAAGTACACAACTGAGATAAAAGGCAAGAGAAAGATGTATTGTTTACACATTTATATATATATAGATTGTTTTTGTGTAATTGTTTGTAGTGTGAGAGCAGTCTTCTAGTACATACAAACTCTACCTCTTAATGAAAACATGCTAAAATTCTGTATTTGGGTAAAGTTGAGTGCCTTCAGGTTTGTAAAGAAATTAGTCCAATCATGATAAAAATCTTAAGTAATAATGCTTATTCTTGGTCCTTGTCTTTGTTGGTTTATTTTGTCCTCCTTTCTTTCAAAGGAATTTAGTGGCTATGTGCAACAAATTAAATATGGTGTGGCTAGGATTGAGTCAACCATGCCAAGAGTGTATCAGCTGGCAGCTGGCGGGACTGCAGTTGGTACAGGACTAAACACAAGGATTGGTTTTGCTGAGAAAGTTGCTGCTAAAGTAGCTGAACTGACGGGTGAGGAATGATACTTCAGTTATCAGTAAAGCAGTATATGTAGCATAGAGTCAAACTGAAACAAAATGCTTTCAGTTTCCAGGCTGCTTATAAGCTCAAATTGTATTTATATTTTAACATGAAAGTTTCTGTTAATGCTGTATGTTATATGCCTTATACTTAGGGTTTTTCATGCAATGTATTTTTAGAATTATACTTGGTGCATTGAAAGTGACTGAAATTACCATGTTTTTCTGAGTGAGGCTTATGGATACAGTTTCAGGCTTCTATTATTAGTCCAGCTATAAAGCTCTGTCTTGATCTTTGCTCCTCTGGCTCTGCTAATTTACAGTGACTTGGCACAAAAGAAGGGGAAAAACCCTCCCAAAGCCACTATGTTTTTCATATCAAAAAGTTAGCTGTCTGATTTTTTTATGCTATTTTTATAGACATTGAAACTTAATTTACAGAGCCATTGAGTTTTTTGATCTATAAACCAGATCTTTGGCATCACAGTATGTTTTTAAAATGCCCCCAAAATGAATGCGTGTGTCTGTCATTTAAAGTTGCTGAAACTGCTTATCAATGGTATTTTTGTTTTAATGGATCTATTATTCTCTGTCTTGTAGAGAATCAAGACTTCCTTGCACCCTGAGAGGGCAGAAGTAACTTGTCATAAACAACAGCTGTTGGCAGCAGTACAGGGCTTGGTTTTTGTGCTTGAAGAAGCTATTGGTGGTTAGGAAGCTCCCCCATGTTAACGCATGTTAGGTGTACTGCATGGGAAAGCTGTACTAGTTTAAAACAAGTAAGGCAGACTTACGAAGTTCCATATGTTCTTATAGGCAAGTTTATTGGCAAGGACAAAAGGAAAAGTGTAGAATGATCTCTGCAACTGAGAAGGCAGCTATGCAATTTGGAAGCCCATGCACATTGGGTGGGATTTGGTGTTTAGCAGGTATTGCAAAACACTAGAAATCATGGTGTTATGCTGCTCTTCTTTGAACTGGTAATGTAAGCTCAGACCAGGAGTTTTGCAGGCACAAAGTCCAACCCACAGTTAGTCTTTAGAGATGTCCATTACCACTAATAGCATTCTACTGACTTTTCTTCCAGGGCAAAGCCCTGAAGACATGTTTTTCATTATGGAACCTAGCCTTAAATCTCAGGCATTTAATTAATGTCAGCAGAGCTGTTGCTTCTGTTGAGTCTGTGCTCTTGTTGTTGGCAGCGGTTTCAGGCATGCTTCTGAGTCTGAATCAGCTTTCACATGTTCTGTCTGGTTTGTTGTTCCCTTCCAGTGCTGATACTTGAATGCCTTTTTTTTTCCTTTAAGGACCTAATTCCATTGTGACCTGCTTTATCCTAATGTCTGCGCTGTGCTGTAAAAACCTCATTGTCATAACAGAGAGAAAGCATCATAGCACTTGACGGTCTAAAGAATCTAACTTTGATTTAACAGGAGAAATTAAATTTGGGCTAACCTGTAAGAGATTACTGACATTCATAAAATACTGCAGTGGGAAAGCGAGGCTTAGTATGCAACACTGTGAAATCTTTGAAATTTTGTTGTGCGTAGATGCTCAAATTTCGTATTCTTGTGTATTTTAGTGACTTTTACATTGTATTAATCTGTTTAAGCAATGTTTTTGAGGAAAGGTCTAGAGAGGAGAGATGATCTGACTGTTATTATTTTCAAATGAAGCTAATTATGTGTTTGATTATCTAGTTCATGTGCCTCACTGCTTAATATTTCCCCTTCCCCCCTGTAGGTTTGCCTTTTGTCACTGCTCCAAATAAGTTTGAAGCTCTTGCGGCTCATGATGCTCTGGTTGAACTCAGCGGAGCTATGAACACAGTGGCATGTAGTCTGATGAAAATAGCTAATGATATTCGTTTCCTGGGTTCTGGACCACGTTCTGGACTAGGAGAACTCATCCTGCCTGAAAATGAACCAGGAAGCAGCATCATGCCAGGTACAGAGAAACCTTGCATGTTTCTTTTGATTTGGACTACTAACTCTTATTTATCAAATGCCATCACACATCAATAAGTCTATGATTCAACAATTCTGTCAGTTTTTATCTTCTGCCGTATTTTACGAAAGCTGGTGTTCATAAAAATCCTTGTTTGCACAGCTGTGTGTTGGCCAGTATGTGGGGGTGAGCATTATCTGTAAGCATATGTCTCTATTAATACAAGCATACTTCTCAAAACCTTCTTTTAGAATTGCAAGATCTCTATGATTTTTATGTAAAGGCTTTTCTGAAACAAGCTTTAAATGATCTAATTTATGAATTGTAGCAATATTGTGATGTAAACTGACTTCTATCTTTACTTCCTACCATGATTATTATTACATACTCATATTTTCCTTTCTGCCATATGATATACACATAATATGATATACAGTGGCAATGATGCCATTGTATGGGTTGATAAGGAAGGAATATTAGTAATCATTCTTTACTCTCTCCTAAAAAAGTATGCATATATGAATATTTTACATCAAAAATATGTTTTTCCTTTATGATAAATTATAAAACAGGTTGTGAGCATATCTGGCTTTAAAAAAAGCAGATAATGTTCTTATTAGGATTATTTCTAGAAATGACATCAGCTATTAAAAAACCCTTCCTTATTAGGAGCCCATTCTAAATTGGGGGGTTTTGTGTGTTTGGTTTTTGTTTTGTGTTGTTTTGCCCCCCCCTTTTTTTTTTCCTGCAAAGTAAAGATAGTGTACTAATTTTATTACAAAGTAATTCTAACAGATTAGGAATACTTTTCCTAAATTGAGATTTAGTAGTGATTTACCAGAAATGCCCACTTGCACAAGTAAAGACAGTTTTTAATGTGTTGTTAATCTGTTAAGAATGTTGGTAATGAACAGCAGTTTAGCTCATGCACGTTTGGTCCAGCTCTCAAAATCTTGGTGAATTGCTAAAGCAACCATAGTTATTTTAAAAATCTTAGCTGAATTATTGGAATTGTACAGTTAATATCATTTATGGAAATTATTTCTGTGGTGCACAGATAGACATGAGTAGGATGCTACCTCCTACAAAACATCTTCTGTTGAATGTGATTTGGTAAATGAGGAAATGCAACTGGTTGTTGGTTTTGTTTGCTTGTGTGTTTTGGTTTTGTTTGTTTCTTCCCTTCCACTGCTTCTTCTTGGGTAACCTTTTTCTCTCCTTTCTGCAACTAGGAAAAGTGAACCCTACCCAGTGTGAAGCTGTAACCATGGTGGCAGCTCAAGTTATGGGAAACCATGTTGCTGTTACTGTAGGAGGTAGCAACGGACACTTTGAACTGAATGTTTTTAAGCCCATGATGGTAAGTTCTTGAAGTTTTAAATATCTAGGAGTTTTTAAAGTCATTGTTTGTACAATCAGATAATTTGTAGGAAAAAAACCTCAGTGAATATTTGGTCAATACAAGCACCAGAGAAGCTAATGAGCTGTGCAAACAAGATTTATTCCTTTGTATGGCAAGTCCCTGTTATTTTGACAGGGAAGTGGTGATCTTTCTAACGTGAAACTACTTTATGCAGATAAGCTTTTATCTTAACAATGTCTGCTTATCATCAAAGGAAGCAGGGAGAGAGGAGCACAAGCTGAGACAAAATTTTGTCCAAAGCCAAAGAGAATTTGGCGTCTCAGCTAAAAATGAGGATTTTTTTTTTTTTCTTTAACAACTATCTGTTACTAAGCTTTGTTACTGCCGACTACCAAAGGATTACAGGTCTTTGGCAACTGAGTCATGTAAAATTGTAAATAATTAGACTTCAGTACTTCTGCCTTCTACAGCGTGAGGACGATACGCCAAGAGACATAATTGCTGCTTCTGTACGTTTAATTTAAAAACAGTCAAGTTAATTGAGTGTTACAAATCACCTTGTACTGAAATCTGCATGTTTTGACACCAAGTTGTAATTCCTATTTTCTTCTTTGGGCTATGTACTTTTGGTTTGGTTGGTTGTTTTGCTCCCTTAAAACCAAGAAGGAAAAATGAACAGGAGAAATTGAGGGAGAGAATATAAACAAAAGCATCAAATCAGAAGATTGTGGATAACTATATATAGACTGTTAAAGGAATAGCACAGAAGTTAGGGTAGAGATAATAGTTTAAAAAGAATTAAGGTGACTTGCAGAAAATAGTAATAAAAGGAAGGTTTTTAAGATTCTGTTGTATTGTTAGAAGTAAGAGGCACAAAGGAAGCAGCATGTTATGTTATTATTCTGCACAGTCTATACTGACTGATACGGCATTTTTATTATGTTAGTTGGAAATGACTGAAAGAAAACTGAAATTTTACAATAGAATCAGTATTTGTCTCTAACTTACTGTGCCTGCTCAGGGTAATGTCTTTTTTTTTTTTTTTTTTTTTTTTTCTGCCAGTCAGGGCATATTTCTTCTAAGCATATAGCATCTGGTTTTGAAGCGGGAGGGAGGAATCATGAACAGCCAAGAGATACACATAAGATACACATAAGAGATAGAGATCCCTCCCCAAAAAAGAAACCAAGAATGCATCTTATGGATTGTCAAAATAGATGACTTGTCAAAGTAGGTGACTAATGCCAGACATTATTGTACTTTATATCGTTAGATATCTTCTCTTGATCAGTACTTGGAAAGGGAAATAACAATGAATCAAATGCTTTCACGTAGGTTTTACTTGGTTATTTGTGAAGAAAATGATTATACGTACTGTGGTCATCTTCATGCACGTTTAGTTCTACCACTGAATGCTTCTCAGGAACCCTTTAAATGAGAGTGGGCTGAGCTTACACCCTGCAGCCACTCGTTTTTTACAAAAGGCTTGCTAAAGAATTGGGTATTGCAGGGGGTCACTGGCTATGAACAAACACACCAGACTGTGCACCTGTTACTGACTGAATGTAATACCTGGTATTTCTTTTGTTTTGTTGTTGTTGTTAGATTAAGAACGTTTTAAACTCTGCAAGACTTCTCGGAGATGTTTGTGTGTCTTTTACGGACAACTGTGTAGTTGGAATCCAAGCTAATACAGACAGGATCAACAAACTGATGAATGAATCTCTGATGCTGGTAACAGCACTGAACCCACATATAGGTAGGTTTAAGGCTCAGAAACTTACCAGAACGTTACACTGAAATAGCTTGCGGTATCATGATTTTGCACGTTACATTTGGTGCACATTTAGTACAAATTGAGTTAAGCAGCAGTGGCTGTGTCCTGCAAATTAATTCTCCATAGGCCAAGTGTCCCACTTTCTTCTCACCTCTAAATTTTGTGAAACTGTGCATGGCTAACTGCTTTGTTTTGTTTTGTTACAGGATATGATAAAGCAGCTAAGATTGCCAAAACTGCACACAAAGAAGGGACGACGTTAAAAGAAGCTGCTATAAAGCTGGGATTCCTCACATCAGACCAGTTTGATCAGTGGGTGAAGCCTAAAGATATGTTAGGTCCTCAGTAACATCTGTACAAAAAAAGACTGCAAACCCCACGTGTTCTTAACACAAAAATAAATGAAATAAACCAACTACTATGTGCTTCTGTTTCACGTCTGTTCGTGCTGTTACTTTGTAACAGCTCAGATAAACTTGATCTTGGAGGGAAGATTCTCCAACTACAATTCCTTTATATTAGAAAATCAGTAAAACGTCACTGCTGATGTAACTTAAAGGGTGTTTCTCTAGGCGCTGACAGCGGTTCCGAAGAGCTGGCGTAAGCCCGGCAACCGCCTGTGCCGCGATTAGAGGCGTCTCCTGCTACGCACAGCGCGGAAGTTCTGGCCTGTGCACGTGATGCCTGCGGGGCGGTACCGGGGCGTGGCGTGCCGTGCCCGGCTGGCTGTCGGCTTCCGGGTCGGTGGGTATCGCTGCTGCTGTTTACCGGGACCGGGAGCAGGAGACCGACGCGCCGCCGCCATGAACCGCTTCTTCGGCAAAGCGAAGCCGAAGGCGCCTCCGCCCAGCCTCACCGACTGCATCGGCACGGTGAGTGCCTTCCCCGGGCGGACGCAGCCGGCCGTAGGCCTGGCAGCAGCGGGGCGGCCCGGCAGCTCAGGCGGTGTGAGCCCGGCGGGCCGCGGCTCCGCTCGTGTGTGTGTGTGTGTGTGTGTGTGTGTGTGTGTGTGTACGTGTGTGTGTGTGTGTGTGTGTGTGTACGTGTGCGCAGAGCTCCGTCCGCGGGTCACTGCGTGTCTATGCCGTCGGCACGCGGAAGTGCGGGTGTGTTCCCGGCTGTGTGTGTGGGAGCGCGGCTCTTGTGTGTGTAATACAGTGAATGTGCCTGTGCTTTGGTGCGGTGTGTGCACTGATTGCAGTCTGACAGGATGGAAAAAACCTTTAAGATCGTCAAGTCCAGCCATTACCCCAGGACTGCCATGACCACCACCACTAAACCGTATCACTGAGGGCTTCATCTACACGGCTTGTCGACGCTTCCAGGGATGGTGACTCCACTGCCCTGGGCAGCCTGTTCCAATGCCTGAGCACCCTCTCTGTGAGGAAATTTTTCCCGATATCCAGTCTAAACCTCCCCTGGCACAGCTTGAGACCATTATCTCTTGTCCTGACACTTGTTAACTTGGGAGAAGAGGCCAGCCCCAACCTCACTAAAACCTCCTTGCAGGCAGTTGTAGAGAGTAATATGCCCCCCCTCCCCCGAGCCTTCTCCAGGCTGAACAACCTCAGTTCCCTCAGCTGTTCCTCATCAGACTTGTGCTCCAGACCCTTCACCAGCTTCGTTGCCCTTCTCTGGACCTGCTCCAGCACCTCAAATGTCTCTTGTAGGGAGGGACCCAGAACTGAACACAGGGTTTGAGGTGCAGCCTCACCAGTGCTGAGTACAGCAGGATGGATGATCACTGCCCCGGCCCTGCTGGCCACACTGTTGCTGATACAGGTTAAGATGCTGTTGGTCTTCTTGCCCACCTGGGCACAAGATGGCTCATGTTCAGCTCCATCCGTCAGCACCTCCAGGTCCTTTTCCACCAAGCGGCTTTCCAGCCACTCTTCTCAAGCCTGCAGCATTGAATAGGGTTGTGTTGGCCCGAGTGCAAGACCCAGCACTTTGCCTTGTTGAACCCCATATTATTGGCAATCACTGCCTTGATTGCACTAGCTGACTCCCCTATGCCAACCTACATGAAGTCAATGACCGGAGCAAGGAAACCAGGCTCTTTGTCCAGGCTAGGAGGCCGGAGGGCAGATCCCACTGTCTGATGAGAATTGTTCTGTCTGCTATGCATGAGCTTGCCATAGGGTCAGTGGTGAAGGTGTGAACAGAGGGATGGTTAAGCCCAGACCAAGAAAGAAATGCTGAGGAAACATGGTAGAACACGACAGCTGCTGTAAGGTTTGCCTGCCTGAAAAGAACGTTGAGGAACGGTTTTAAGAAGGTTAATCTTGTAGTTTTACAGCCTTTTCTTGGCTTTTAAGCTTGTGAAGAAAACTGGTGTGTTTTTACGGCTCTTTCTGTTGTAAACCAATTTTAAAAGGTGAAGAAAGAACACGGAGATCCTGAGTATTTGTGTCAGTGGTTAGCAAAGTCAGGTGAAAGGTTGGTAAGGGTTGTGGTTTAAATGGAGGGTGAATGTGAGGGTGAGCGCCCAAAACTGAGCGTTGTCTGGAACCTGACAACAGGAAGTTTCTTCGGAAAATCATGATTTTCCTCCCAGAAGATTAATTTGCTATCCAGTGAAGAGACCTAAGTCAAACACCTAATATTTGTCAGTACTACCTGGACAAACCTGTGCACGTCAGCCTCCTGCATATGCCAGTGGCTGGGACAGGGAGAGAAGTGGTCATAGTGTTTTTCCCAGTACATTATTGGCAAAGAATCCATATTGCTTTTTAGCAGTATTAAGCCTAAACATACCTCTAAGCCTGTTTAGTTAGAACAGTAAATAAATCGTGCTCAAAAATTAGGGCTTTCCCGCTATTAGCAGGAAATGCTTTAGTGGATGGCTAGAACTCCAAAATCCACCCAAGATGCTGTTATTAGTACTTAAATTTGCCATTTCAGCAGTGTAAGCTGTACACTAGTAAGTGTGGGGAGAAACATACTTTTGCAAATTCAAAGTTGATGAGTTAAATTTTTGAGCCAATTTACATAAAATAATCAATCTGATTTGTGAAAGGCTTGCTGTACTTTCAGTTCATTTTCACAACAGTGAAGTCTCTAGTGTAAGTCCTGCTAGAGGGCTAGAGATATCATTAGATATTTTTCTTACATCGCATGGGAATTATTATTGAATAGAGTTGCGTGAGACATTAAAGAAACTTGCGTTGTTTCTTTACTGTGTTAAATTCTACAGTTCGGAGACTCAAGTGATGTCACTTCTGTGTTGTTTTAAGTCTTAGACACATTTTGTTGTACCTTTTGAGAGTCAAACTTTTTATTGTACAAATATCGTGGTTTAAACCCAGTCAGGCAATTTGTTCACTCACTTCCCCCCACTTCTTGCCCTCCCCCTGCTCCCGGCGGGACGGAGGGGAGAGTCAAAAAGAATGCAACTCCCATGGGTTGAGATAAGAACAGTTTAGTAACTAAGGTATAACACAAATCGCCACTGCTACCACCAATAATAATAATGATAAAGGAAATAACAATGGAAGAGAATACAACACCTCAGCACCAGCCAACCGATAACTCACCCCCCAGGCCTGACCAAGCTCCAACCGATACCTCCTCCAACCCTGCAGTCCCAGCCCTTCCGGCTAACTCCCAGTTACATCCTGGGCATGACGCGCTGTGGTATGGAATACCTCTTTGGCTAGTTTAGGTCAGGTGTCCTGTCTCTGCTTCCTCCTGGCTTCCCCTCCTCCCTGGCAGAGCATGAGCCTCACAAAGTCCTTGGCCAAACCAAAACATCATTATTATCAGCTCTGTTCCCAGGCCGAAAGTCAAAACACTGCACTGCACCAGCTACCAAGAAGGAGAAAAATGACTGCTACTGCTGAACCCAGGACAACAAAGCATTACACGCTTTGTGAAATCTCTTGCCATGTTACCTAAATAGTAATAAGCCATGAAATGGCAGGTAGGAATTACTGTATTTGGCAAGCGGTGCTTAATGTTCATAGTTACTGTTTGCCAAAAGCAGAGACAACTCTGTGCCTGTGTTTTGGATGTTCTTCCCTGCAAAAGCAGTACAACTGAACCCAATAAGATCAGAACACGATACACTTTCTTTTCCTGTTGTAAAAGAGAATAAGCATCACCTTAAGGTAGCTAAACGATTCAAGGTTTTTGTATTTTAAGAGCTGGTTCTGTGGAATCACTAATCTGAAGTGTTTAGTGAAGCCCAGGGAACATTTCTCCCTGTTTTGCTTTGATGGCTGGTTACTATCGAGTTTGCCAGGGTGATGCCCTCCTGTCTCCCCACTTAATCTCCATGAGTATGTACCCACTCCCCCTTGCAGTTTCTGCTCGCTGTGCCTGCCTCAACACTGCACCACGTGGCAGACTTCTTTCAGTCCTTGCTAGCTGAGCACAATCAGATGACTCAAAGCCATCCTGAGGATGGTAGGAGGAAGGATGCATCAGGAACTGCTGCATTTGCATTGTTTTTTTTCTTCTTCGACAGAACACTCCAATTTTATGTTATTTTTTTCAGACTAGTAAGTAGGGAACATAGGAACAATTGGCTGATAGTTGTGACAACAATGTTAAAATTCAATCTGATATGTGCTGCTATTTTTTTTACTTGTTGTTATTTACTGAAATAAACTGCAATTTTGCTTCATAGGTATTTGGGATACCACCATCCCTTTCTTTTGTTTGAATTGGGGCCCTTCTGTAGCAATGGAATGTATGTTGATATGCCTTATCTGTGAATAAAAGAAAGCGGCTCTTCAGGTCATAATACACTCTGATTTTTCTTTTGGATAAATTTGATCCATTTTCCCATTTTCTGTCCATTCGCATTTTTAAGATCTGAGGTCCTGTTCAATGTGTGTGGGAAATACTTAATGCAGTTAATCGATGGAGGAGGATCTGTCTCCGTTTCCTGCTAGTACTGCTTAAAAGAATCATTATATAAATAAGCCAAATAACTGGCTTTCCCCTGGAGAGGAGGCTGACCTCAAAGATGCATTTAGCTGATGACATCTTGAGGAAGGGCTACGCTTTGAACCTGCAAGAGTTTTAAAATCACAAATATCTCATTTTCTTGCTATTAGTACAATATTTGACAAAATAGAAAGCTTAACACATTTCTTTTTTTCAATGCCAGCTGTGCCCAGACACTTTAATGTCTTGTGTGGAGTGTTTATATCAAATGTTCTGCTCGGGGTGCCTCTGGCAAATGCATGTTGCTGTCAGACAACAGAGATTTGGAAGGATCACTGAGACACCCAGATGAAAATCTGCATAATTATACTTGTTTAGCCACACTTCTAGCAAGTCAGAATTGTAAATTTGCACTGATTGGTCTCACGCTATAATTGGACTGTCATTATATTCTAATCCCTAGAGAGGCTCCGTGAGGAGTTAAGAAGCTTTATTTTGTGGTTTTCCAAGAAATGCTGTGATAGTTAGTTCATGTTAAGGAGGCTTTCTTTAATTTTTTGTCTGTTTGATTGGGGGTTCTTTATGAATTTGTGTGTGCTGTTAGATGGTCCATACCATGCTTGGCTCTGTGGTTATCATCTTTAACCCTCTTATGCAGAAGGGTTAAAATATTTCCATAATGACACCTCTGTCATGCTTTGCACCAAGGCTGTTTTAGGGCTGACTGCTGGGGGTTTCTTACTGAGCTATGCAGCTAATGTTGGGATTAGAAACAAAAGAATCCAGAGTAGCTACCAGGTGGAACTGCTGTGTCCTGGTTCCTTTGTGGGAAGTGATGGGAAAAGTGTCTTTCCGACAAAGAAGTTAGGCACCTTTGAAAAAAGGTTTAGTCCCTGGCACTGTATGTTATCAGAAATTCCTGAATAGAGACTGTGACTTCAGTGAGTGTGCAAGGGATTATGTCAAAATGTGAGAACTTGTTACAATGGCAGAGCTTCCTGCAATCTCAGAATGTTTCTTGTGCTCCTTCTAGAAGGTGTTTCATTTGATTCTGGTTTTGGATTCTCTGCAAACTTCATAAACTGTTTAAAAAACACTGAGTGAAGAAACAATTCAGTTAGAAGCATAATAAGACTGAGGCTGTTCTCTTATTGTCCAATTCCTGAATAAAGCCTTAATTAATTTTTTTTTTGTTTGTGTTAAAGGTGGATAGCAGAGCTGAGTCAATTGACAAGAAAATTGCTAGGCTTGATGCAGAACTTGTGAAGTATAAGGATCAAATGAAGAAGATGAGAGAGGGGCCTGCAAAGGTATGAATATTCTGTGGGATTTAAGCATAAGAGGATGTGACTCACACTGCTTGTCATGTAGCAGGGTGATTTAGCCAGTTCATTAGGTCCTTAGAATTGCACCTTGCCCTACTGACGAGATGTAAGATCCTACAGGGTTATTTTTATTAGACATGTATCTTTGAACAGTGTTTTCATTGGTTTTTATTTATTCAAAAATGTAATATAATTCCTCACTCTGAAGTAACTTGCTTCCCTTCTTCCTTCGTTACCTGAACTAAATCTGGTAGAAAGGCTGTTTTGTTCATCAGCTAAAATAAAAAGGTCTGCACTAGGCAGAAAGGGGGTAGGAAAACCCATTTCTGAAAGGGGATCAACATATAATATAAAATGTATAATGATAATAAACAACATATATAAACAGTATTGTTAAAGTACCTTTTGCAGTATTATTTGCTGACCATTGAAATGTGTTGCTGAAAGATGGTTCTGATGCACTAAGTTTGACTTTGTGTTCTGCTTATCAAAAAAACATTCAAAAGCCAGAAATGTTAAAAGTATTTTTATTACCAGCTTTACATACAAGCCTGTTTGGTTAATCATTAATATGTTACAAATGCTGAATGTGACTATTATTAAACTCTTTGCAGTAGTAACTGAGCAATCTTCTGGAAAACTTCAATGTCATACATTAGGTTTAAACAATATAATCAAGTGTAGTCAAATATTTTTCCTAATGTAACAATATTTTGTCTTTCAGAACACAGTAAAGCAGAAAGCATTGAGAGTGTTAAAGCAGAAGCGAATGTAAGTTTAAACCTTTCTCAGTTTGGGATGAATGAAAGCCTGTTTTTTTTTTTTGGGGGGGGGGGGGGGGAGGGGCACACTTTCTCTTTCCAGTGCTCTCATTTCTGAATATTCTTTAAAAAAAACTGCTGAACAAGCCAGCCAGCCTTTCAGAAGCATCTCCTTGCAGATACAGTGTCAGCACATTTATGCCTTTATATATGAGTTATATATTTGGACTGAGACAAGCTGGCCTAAATCGGCTCATTATTAAAGCTATGCTTGGTTCCTAAACTTCCTGAGAATGCCTCATTTTCTGTTATTAATTGGTTACTATAAATTGTGTACTTAATTATCTTTGACTGGTTTACTGGAAATTTACCTCTTCTCTGTAGATACCCTTTAAGACTTGAGCATATGTACCACAGGTTGTTGTGTCTATGCAAGAAACCAGAATGGACAGGATAGATGATCCTGTGGTCAGGTCTAGTCTAATACAGTGTCCTGGAAAGTGACCAGCAACAAATACAAGGGAGAGAATGACAAAACATGGCAAATATTCAGGGGTGCTCCACTGTAATGTTATAGCCCCCGAGCTACAAATCTTTTAGATGCTGCCTGAGCCAAAGCTTGTACTGTCTTGTATGTCATATTCCTCAGATGAATTCTACCTCTACAGGCTTGCTCAGTTTCTTGTTCTTTATGAACTCTTATCATCCAAAATACCTGTGAACTCTTTACAGTCTAAAATATCCTATGTTAAGGAATGCAACAGTTCAGTTAGATGTGAGAATGACTGCTTTGTTTTGGGTTTTCTGTCTGCCTGCTGATCTTGTGTGCTAATTATTCCCCCGTTTACAGTCACTGGGCCCTGATTTTTCAATTAAAAAAAAAAAAGAATTTTTGCAGCAATAAAGTGTGGTGTTTTAAAGCCATTATTTATATTGTTTTTAACAGGTATGAACAACAGAGGGATAATCTATCACAGCAGTCTTTTAATATGGAACAAGCTAATTACACTATTCAAGCACTGAAGGATACAAAGACAACGGTACCAGTATATTAATCTTGCATTTGTTTAATTTATATGTGCTCCATCAGATACAAGCATGTTGTTTGACTCTATTCTAGGTTGATGCAATGAAACTGGGGGTGAAAGAAATGAAGAAAGCTTACAAGCAAGTCAAAATTGATCAAATTGAGGTGAGTTTGTATAGTTCAAAAGTTAAAGAACAGAAACAATGTACTGCAATAGCGATGAGTAGGCTGTGTAACCTAAAGGTAAACTGACTGTTTTAGTTTAGATAAGTTTTCTTCCTATTTTGTGAGACCAGCATCATAATTCCTTCCTGATTTCTCTGGTACTGCAAAATCAGTTATTTGCCTACTCATACTGGTTTTCTTTGCTGGGCTAATCTGTAATGTCTCGTGCTGAAGTGTTGAGGAAAGGGAATGTTGGTGAATACTTCCTGCTATAGCTTTTTTGTTGTGTCCTCCATGCTGCAGTTGTAACATGCACACTAGTCCTTTGCTTCCCCAGTTCAAGCTAGTGCCTGAATAAAGCACAGACAAACAAAAAAACCCCAACCAACAACAACAAAAAACCAAACCCAAACCTAAAACCTGACAAAAAATACCCACCAAACCCCAAACAAACAATTTCTAGAGGTCTGCAAGGCCTGGCCGTGTCTTCAGAAAACACATTAAAAAACCCCAGAAGATCTCTTAAGTAGAATTTTAAGTATGCTGCACTTAAACTCTTATCAAATGCCCGTGCTGAATTCCTTAAGTTCTCTTTGCTATGCTGTTTTTATGTATGGCCTGCGTCGTCAACCTTTAGGCAAGTATTTTCTCCTTACTTGTACCCAAGTACAGTGCCAATAGTATGCCCAAATGTCTTCTAAATTTTGCCATGGCACAATGTGGGTTAGTGCTTATTCTCCAGAAGGTAGATTTAATTTCTGTAGATTTCATATGCTTCTGCTTTTCAAGATAATGCTGCATTTTGGGTACTTTCTTAGAGGTTTTCAGTTTACCCTCAAGAATACTTAATAGGATTTTGCAGACATGTTGTTTCAAGGTTCCTCTTTTTCTTCCTCATATGTTTATTATAATTTTAATAATAATCAAGGCCAAGCTATAGTACTGAATGTTAGTCTCTTGACTTGTATTCATGCTGCTTCATTTATGCATTAAAAAAAAATCAGACTGCCTTGTTTGTTGGAATTACTAATCTTAATTTGATTAAGCTCTGATAATTTAACTAAAGCTATTAAATATGGATGAGTTGAAATCGTTTCTTGCTTCAGGACATACAAGATCAGTTGGAAGACATGATGGAAGAAGCCAATGAAGTCCAGGAGGCGCTGAGCCGTAGCTATGGAACACCAGAGATTGATGAGGATGACTTGGAAGCAGGTTAGGAGGATGATGTTTGCATTATTGAATGTAAACATCATTATACAGTCATATGGTGATTTTTAATTTCATTACTTAAATACTTTCAGTGTATTTTTTAATAGAAAGTTTCAATAACTGTTTTTAAACATAAAAGCTGCATGTCTTTTCAGAGCGGTAGCAAGAGTATGTGGCAGATGTGATACAGACTAATGGTATCTGCAGTGCTGCAGTGAAGGAAAGAAAGTTCTCTGTGTTTTATGTGTGTGTGTGTGTGTGTGTGTATTCCTGACTGATGACCAAGTAATACTGAATGAGTGTGGATGGACGCATTCAGTATGAAACCTGTTTCTCTGTCAGAACAACTTTTCTTTTGCGAAAGGAATTCCTTGCATAATTTTCCAACCACCATAATTTCAGAACTGGATGCATTGGGTGATGAGCTTCTAGCCGATGAAGACAATTCCTACTTAGATGAAGCCGCGTCTGCTCCAGCCATCCCAGAGGTCACTCCTACTGACACAAAAAACAAAGTGAGTCCCATTCCTCTTTAAAAGCAAAATACTCTGTTTTGTTTTGTTTCGTTTTAGATTAATCACATTTGTCTTGGTTACTCAATATTTAAGATCCTTAGAAGTTTGAACAGAAAAACTCGCTTCTGGTTGTATTTTGAATATGGTGTATTTTGGATGCTATATATGAGAGAATATAGTGTACTGAATGCTCTTTATAATATTTTAAAGAGCTAAAATGGCAATTTGTAACTCCTGTCTAACATTGTGAGGCTGCGAGTATACCAGTACAACTCCTAGTTTAATTATTCTTGAAAACGTAAGAAAGCCTTCTGTATGTCTGCTTTTGGGCCTTTAATATAGCTTCATAGTGAGAAAGAACACTGATGCTATTACTTTGATCCCAGCTGTCACACACAGATGTTACAGATACATCACTTTATAGAATTTGTAAGGAAACTGTCATGTTCTGGTTGGTGGAGGATTGTTAACCTGTTGCTTCTTTTTCTTTCTTACAGGATGGCGTATTGGTGGATGAATTTGGGTTGCCGAAGATCCCTGCAACATAAATGTTTCAAGAGCACAATGGATATAACGAACTATACAGATCAAATTAAGAATTTTTTCTTTTTCAGTCCTGGAGAACTTGTCCTTCCAGTGTAATCTTAGTATCACTACATCCTAGAACGCAACATGAATGGCTGGTGGTGTTCCTTCTTTGAAGAAAGTTGCTCTACTACTGATTTTTCTGCTAATGGAAAATTCATCACAGTTCCCTTCAGTGGAAGCAGTCAGTCTGATAGGTTTTGATTTCCATGTCTTATGGACAAATTAATACATGAAGAGTAGTGGTGGCTGTCAATAGCTGAGGTTTATTTTCACTTTGTATTACGTTTCTCTTTCTTGAAACCAAGATTGTACGCTGCTGCTTGCTCTCTGTAAAATAGCTCCCTTATTACTACGCTTATTTGATAAAAAGAACTGAAAGCAATTTTTAAACTACTGGTGGAGACTTGTACCCTGCTTTGGATGCTGTAACCAGTCGGGTTGTCATTAACTTTATGTATTCTATGGAGACATAAAATCCTATAGATGAGCTGGTCCTCGTGTGTGTGGTTTCTCTGGTAATTAGTTTGCTCTTAACCTGTGGCCATTGTTACCAGTGTCCAGCGCTGCTCGGGCACGGAGGCGGAGCCTGGTTCTGATGCCAGCAGCGTTCCCGGCTCCCACCGGGCTTGCTCTGACCGTGCCCCTGCTGCTTGTTTGTTTGCTAATGAGGGCGGGTGCGGTCACACCACCGTGACACCAGCAAACAGCAGCCACGGCCGGTCCCTGCTCCTCAGGGTCCACCCTCACCCGGGCTGAAGGGGCGTGGCCAACGACGGATGTGACGTACTATCGGCGCGCCCCGGAAAGCGCCGCGGAACGGTTTCCTTGTGGCGGGTGAGATGGCGGCGTCCGGAGCTGCGGTTACTGTCACCGTCACGTACAGTAAGAGCCGCCTGGGGCATGGCGGAGGGCGGGCGGGCACCTCGAGCCGCCGCCAAGCCCAGCGCAGCTCGCGGCACCTCCCACCGGCGCCACAGACCCCGACCTGGCCCCGGCGGGACCGTGAGGGTCGGGCCCTGACTGTGATGCCGCCTTTCCCTGCTGTACCCGCGGACCTCGCAGCGGCCGTTAGCGGTAGTCGTAACGCTGGGGTCAGCGGGGAACACCCGGAGTGGCGGCGGTGGGAGGTGGAGTGTATGCGCCTGCCGTTGGTGCTGCAGCTGCCGGCGGCTGCTCGGGGCTGCGGCTGTCGGATGGGTGGCGGCTGCGGCCTCGGGCCTGAGTGGGCACGGCTCGTCCTTTGCTTAGCCTGGTCTCCATCGGAGCTGCTATCGTAAGGTTTCACTGCTCTGCTGGCCACGACTTCCCCTCAAGCTGGATCCCTTAAAGCTGATCCAGCAACAAGGGGAAAAAAACCCTGCTCGTTTTCCATATCAACAAGATGATGATGCGCTCCTCCTTACAGGGTTAGAGCTGCTGTAAGGATGGCGGTGGGAACAGGTGACAAGGCTCTCCTTGCCAGAGAACACAGAGCACAGGTCACTTTTTGAGTAGTAATCTTAATTTAGGTGAAATACATCACTGAAGGCAGTGCTGTACATTAAAAGCAGGTGCTGCCTGATGGGCATTCTTGTTCGTTGAGTAAAATTGAACATCTGTGGTTAGTGAGATGCAAGATTGCAGCAGAAAGTGGGGGTGTCTTCAGGGTGACAGCTGGGTGCTGACCTGGTGAGTGGGTTATTCACAGGCGAGCTGGCATGACTGAGCTTTTTTTCCTCGGGAAGGAGGGAAAGAAGGTGGAATGCGGTTAAGTCTGCAAATAAATATAAAAAGTTACTGCAAAGAGGTAAGAATAGCCTTGGCTCCACAGTTCTTAAATAAGATTAGAAATACCATGGATAAATTTCCATGAAGTGGATCTAGGTGCGGGACTGGGAGGAATGAGAAGTGTAATTGGGTATTAAATCAGCAAGCTATTCAACTGGTTTTGGTTAACAAAACTTGTTAATGATTTATTCTTTATTGAATAATAAATTCTGCTCCTGTGCCTTTTGCACTGTGTTGGTGACATTCTTTCCACCTTTAGAGCTTATTGTTTATTTCTGCTTGCTCATTTGTCTTTCCATACTGTGACATTGTTTTGTGAAAATGCTTCCTTTATCACCTGGCAGTTTTATCTAAAAGTCTTTGGTGAGAAACTTCATGGAATAATCTGTTTGAATCTTTATGATTCATGTGCTCATTGGTGCTTTGAGAGAGCTTCATTTGATCTGATGGGTTTTCATTGGCAAAGATGGCAATAAGTTAATGATACTAACACATTTAGAACTCCAAGATCTTGCTGTTTGCCACCACACTTCCCTTCCTTCCATTCTCAGTATTTTTTACCTTTCAGGTTGTTTTCTTATCCGGTAATTGCTTTGTCCATTAATAAATAGCAAATCAGAGGCATTATTGATCTTGGACTTCAGCTGTCTCATTTATACCTGTTGCTGTCAGATGCTGGTTTACTGCTTAGCACAAACATTTTTATTATAGTTTTCTATGCTTGAGTGAAAGTGGGGAATGAAGGAAATGGGAAATAGAATGGTAGTAGGCTCACATGTATCATTTGACAATCTGCAAGAATTGAACTGTTTGTTTTTATTTAAAGTGTATTTTGTGTTAGTGGTTACTTTAAATTACTGTTGTCATTTACTGAAGCAAACTGGTAAGCTATGATACCAGTTCTAAACCACAAAGTATTTTTCATGGTGACTTCATTCTGCTGTGAATTTACAGTAACACTTTAGTTACAGTCTGCCTGAAGTGGTAAGCATAATTTGTAATTAAAACTGTTTCTATTTTTGGACTGACTTCAGCTGCTCTCTTCCTCATTTGCTGTTTGCTTGTTTGTTTTTTCACTCAGCTGCTGATGGGCACAGCCTTGGCACAAAGCATTTGTATATATCAAAACAACCTTATGAAATATGTTGAGGCTCGGGCCTAAATTTTATTCTTCTTCCAAAACAAAATATGAAGAAAGTCTGTTAATGGAAAGTGCTAGGGCAAGAAGGGGGAAGTTTGAACAATGTGATTTTGAGCTTAAAACCATTTTGAAATTAAGAACTGTTGTTGGAGCTTGCAAGTGTCTGAGGCCACAGTGTCACTTGTCATGTGTTTCTTGGAGACTGGAACTTTTTAAAATCAATGTTTCTACACTTTTCTTTGTAAAAGATATGTGCACTTCAAATTAGTGGCATGAGAATAGTTTTCTTTCTGGTATTTGTTAAGGATTTCTCTCTTCCTGAAAAGTAAAAATGCCTTTCCTTATTTCCCTTGCAGCTAATGGTGGCTGATTCCTGTGGGTGCTTTCAGATTGACAGGCCTGAAGTGTGTGGGAGCAGAGGGTTACAGAAAGGGTCTATTAAGCAGAGATTAATAGACATACTCATTTTTTCTAACAACTTCCTGGTGTTTGAATGCAAATACTCTTAGGGAGTCTTAATAGGATGTTCTATAAGTGGAAGGTGACATATAGGCTAAGACAGTGGTTAAGGCTGCATATCAGCAATATTATGGGGAGAAATAACTTTTGGACTCCGAGAATTTTCCTGGGGGCTGGTGGAGGGGGAGGCAGGGTAGACATTGATCATTTGCTTCCCATGTATGAGGAAAAGGGAACAAAGGAAGTGATAAATGGTCTTGGATTCCCCAAGACTCATGCCATTAAAAGTTCCTATAAGTAGTAAATGAAATGCATCAGGAAAGTGTGGGATTTCATGCTTTAGCTTGTGTGATATATGAACATCATCTGCACTCTAAAGAGGCGGGCAGTAATATTTAGCAGGAGCATTATGCCAGCAGAAAATGCCTGGTTGAACTCCTCAGGTTATTAGAATGCAAAACAAATTTTTCAGCTAAGGTAGAATTCTTTGATTGAAAATTGATTGTTCTTGAAGGTCACTCTGCATTAATGGAAATCAATATTAGAAATGGATTCTAAGAGACGATAAGATACTGTTACTCTGGTTTTTGTTAGGTAATGAAAAACACAATATTCAGGTTGCTTCCCAACAAGAAAATGGTGAACCTACGCTACAAGACATGGCTCTTCTTATTGAACAAGTCACTGGAGTTCCAGTTCCTTTTCAGAAACTGATATACAAAGGTAACTTATAGATCTGTTAGTGGTTCTTACAGATGGTACTTTTCATTTTAGTCGCTTTCAGGTGTTTGTATTTTGAATGCCTTTAGAAAGACACTTGTGTATCGCTGACTGTATTTTAACTATGTTGTTTTTCTCTCTGGTTTTCCATTTAGGGAAGTCTCTGAGAGAACTGGAACAGCCATTGTCAGCACTTGGAGTTAAAAACGGTTGCAAAGTCATGTTGATTGGGAAAAGGGTAAGTACTGCCTTTGTACCTTTTTTCCCTTAAATTATTGTAATTTCCATCAGTGATTCAGTTGCTGAACACAGAAGCAGGTTGCAGTATAAACCTAACTACAGGGTTGAGTTCAATCTTACATTGTACTGCAAATAACTCTACAGTTCATACATTTCTGAAATTATATTATAGACTGACTTTTGCCTTATGTTATTGACGAAATTCTGGCTAATCTGTTGCTTGTCAATGCTCATGAACCTTCTGGCCACTGATGACCTTATCTGGTCATGTTTTTCTGTTGTGGGTTGTTTTTTGTTTTTGTTTTTTTCCTTTTTTTAAAAAAGGAGAAAAAGAGCTGTAGCTATTGAGTCTGAGCCATTTCTAGTGAAATGGCTTGTGGCTGGCTTTGCCAAATAGAGGACAAAGTAATAAGTTGTAATAGAAACGTTACCTCTGCTTTAAAAATGCTAAGCTAAAAAGTTTACACATTTCCTTTTTCCCTTCAAATTCGTCTCATTTAATGTGTTCATACGCATTGACACTGTTTGTAATTAAGCTTTGGAAGCATCTTATTTGGTAGGTATTAAAATATGGAAAGAATAACCACAGTGTAGTATGAATTTCAATCAGCAAAAGCCTTTATGTCTGTATCACCACTATTGCTGCTTTTTAGCTGCATGGTGTCTCTATTTGTTCTGTAGTTGTGAATGTTGTATTTTTGAATACACAGAATAGTCCAGAAGAAGAGGCTGAATTAAAGAAGCTGAAAGATTTGGAGAAGTCAGTGGAGCAAATAGCTAATAAGTTAGATGAAGTTAATAAAGAGCTCACAGGTATCCAGAAGGTATGCCAGTTTTGTATCCTTTTATATTGTTGTGGTTTAAACCCAGTCAGGTAATTCGTTCGCTCACTTCCCCCCCTTTCTTGCCCTCCCCTTGCTCTCAGAGGGACGGAGAGGAGAATCAAAAGAATGCAACTCCCACGGGTTGAGATAAGAACAGTTTAGTAACTAAGGTATAACACAAATCACTACTGCTACCACCAATGCTAATAATGATAAAGGAAATAACAAGGGAACAGAATACAACACCTCACCACCCACTGACCGATAACTCGCCCCCCAAGCCCGACCAAGCTCCGACCGATACCTCCTCCAACCCTGCAGTCTCCCAGCCCTTCCGGCTCACTCCCAGTTACATCCTGGGCATGACGTGCTGTGGTATGGAATACCTCTTTGGTCAGTTTGGGTCAGGTGTCCTGTCTCTGCTTCCTCCCAGCTTCCCCTCCTCTCTGGCAGAGCATGAGGCTCACAAAGTCCTTGGCCAAACCAAAACATCTCTATCAGCTCTGTTCCCGAGCTGAAAGTCAAAACACTGCACTGCACCAGCTACCAAGGAGGAGAAACATGACTGCTACTGCTGAACCCAGGACATATATCTTTGCACAACAGTTTTGTAGGTATATGTATTAAAAAAATAAAATACTGTTTAGAGGTTTGAGTAGTCAGTAACAGGTTGCCCCTCCTAACTGTTCAAGGGTCCTGTGAAATTCTTACTGAATTTGCTATTTATGAGTTAGCAAAATAGAAACACAGCACTGTGTAAATATTGTTGCATATTGGTTAAATTATAATCTTTAGATCTGGAAAAAGCATAGAGTTCTCTGAGAGCCCAAAGGAGAATGTGTATTGTTTAATCTTTTAAGTAAACATAGCAGATCTTATATTTAGCATTTAAGGATTGATAGAATATAGAATGAGATTGGAGTCCCTATCATTTCTGAAACTACAGAAATAGTAGAAAATGTTTCCTGCTGTAATGGATTAACGTATTTTCAAAGCTGAGTGTTCTGTAGGGTATGGAATAATTTTGTCTTTCCTTCCCTCTTTTTTTCTTCTTAGGGATTTTTAGCAAAGGATCTCCAAGCAGAAGCACTAAAACAGCTGGACAAGAGGATAAAGGGAACTGCAGAGCAGTTCATGAAGATCCTGGAACAGATTGATGCCATTGTAAGTAAACAACCACTGAAAAGGGTCAAATCCCAGCAGGAGCTTACTGTTAAGAATATGTCTTTTGTGTAACTTATTTAATATTTTTGAAGTGCTAAAAAAATTATTTTGGCTTTGAAAATTAGTTAATTGGCTTGCTCATTTTTTCTTTAATATCCAGCGCTTGCCCCTGTATCTCTCCAAAAAACTACTTGGCAGCATCTGTTTCTAAATGGTGACATTAATGCCTATGCATGCATCCCCATTCTACAGAAGAGCTTCCTTTGGGGCAGCAACCTTTTAAGACTACATGAAATGGGTATCCTTTACTCAAGCTTTACTCTTTAGGTTGTCTTGGCAAACTTTCATGTTAAACTTGATGATAACAGTAAAGGTCTGGGAAAAAACAACCAGATAACACTTTGTGTTCTGTATTGCATAGGAACAAGATGGCCCTTAAGAATTTTCTGATCAGTTGTATGTGGACTGGCAGGACTCATTTGAGATGCCTGCATATTAAGGACTGGATTCTGCCTTTGGAATGTATTGGGGAATATCCAAGTGCTTCACAGTCATTAATGGTTCATAACCTTACACTATATTTCTGGAGTTCAGCAAGTATCTTCATGTAGTAGCTGAGAGCTAGGTGAAAATCATAGAATAGTTAGGGTTGGAAAGGACCTTAAGATCATCTAGTTCCAGCCCCCCTGCCATGGGCAGGGACACCTCCCACTAAACCATGTCACCTAAGGCTCTGTCCAGCCTGACCTTGAACATTGCCAGGGATGGAGCATTCACAACTTCCCTGGGCAGCCCATTCCAGTGCCTCACAGCCCTTACAGTAAAGAATTTCTTCCTTATATCCAATCTAAACTTCCTTGTTACAAGGGGGACTCGTAATAATAAAATAAGGGACTTATGCAGAGATGAACAGACAATTGTGGCAACTAGGTTATTTCCATATTGTGTTCCTCTGCTGGTCATTTTCTGAAAACTTCATTATATAGTTATGCTGTATATCACAACTGTAATATCCTGCTGTGAAGGAAAAATGCTGCTTTTCTGTGGTAGTAATGTCTTTAGGTCTACTCCTTTGTACAGTGACCCTTTATGGGATTGGTTCCATGCAAATGCCTGTAATTGGTGATCCAAATGTAGTCTAATTAATGGATGCTTTGTAAAAGTTCAGCAGCAGGCTAAATTAAAGAGTAATAATTTGAATTGGTCATCTTAAAATGCTATACAATATGGATGTGTTCCTAGGAATGGTGAGGAGCTCATTAATGTATTTCTTCCTTTCATACTGTGGACCTTTAATGGCAAACTAGCCTTTGCTGTTTGTTATAGCCAACAGTTCTTGAATACTTTTATAAAAGTAAGACTGCTAAGTATTTTACAGCCTTACAATTTCTCTTTCCTTTTGTGCCTCATATAAAGGAAAGTATTTTACTGACAGTTGTTGAATGCTGTTCGATGTAGAGACTTCATATAACTGATGCCCTGTTTGAAGTGCAGATTTACTATGTTGTGAAAATAGCAATAAGGTGACAACTGTTTCAACTGGATGGGATTAAAGCTTATTTCTGATCCCTTCAGTTGCTGATGAGAAGTCTGATTTAGAAAAAATTCAGCACTTTGTCTGCTAGTACACAGTTCTGGAACCCAGCATGCAGCCATGAAAAAATCCTGTCGCTGCTTCCTAATTAATCCAAGCTGAATTTCCCAAGTTTACTTCTGATTCTAGTGCTTTTCACATTGCTTAAACAGAGAGCATGATATTATCTATCTCTTTATCCAAAATACTCTAAATAGTACTGGACAGGTTTAGTACAAGGTTTTAGAAGGTTCATCACTTAGTGAATTCAGGTTTAGATTTAGGAAATAATGGAGTCCCTGTGCCTCAGTTTTGTCACTGTGGAGCTGTAGTAGCGAGAGCTAAAACTGTTTATAATTAGTACCTTTTAATATTTATAACAGTTGTTTGTTACTTTATTGTATAAGGGCCTATGACATCGAGAAGCCTCATTCTTTTAAAAGCAAGAAATAAGTGAGGGGTTTATTGCCAGTGATTGAAGTTTTGTTACATGTACCAAAATCCATATTTATTTGCTTTAATATGCAAAGGCAGCTGTGGGTTTTGTCATGAATACTGAACTTCTGTGAAACTTCTGTGAAATTTTGCAGATGAGATGCATGTAGTTGGGTGGAATCTTCACATAAAATGTAGCTGTTTGGTGTGCTGTTATTACACCAGCTCAGGTGAACAGGCCACCAGCTTCCTGAGGTATTACTTAGCTGTACTATAGTTGTGCAATTTACAGAGCTGGCAACACAGGATGGTAGTGAGGTAGGTATATGAACAATAAATGGGTTCCACTGAAGTAAAAGATTGTAAATAGAAATGCAAAGCAGAAAAGCATAAAGCTTCCAGAAAGTATTTTATCTGTGTCTCAGAATTGTTTTATGCAGTATTTAGTATTCTGTTAGTCAAGTAAAAGCAGGTTCTGACAAATCTCTTTTAATTGCTATTGGCCATATGATGTGCTATTGATTCAATCAATATCTTAAAAAAAGATAAGGGGGGGGGGAAGTGACTGAGCTGTTTTCTGCTAAGACAGAACAATGAATGCATTGCAGAAGTGAAACATACTACCAACCTCACACTGTAATATTCCAGTTTTTCTTTTGCAGAAATGTTCTGAGAGCTCTTGTGAGACCTCAAGTGTCTTCGTTGTCATAAGTTCCTTGGATCAGTCAAGGCATCCAGCTTAGTACAAAATGAGATTTGTATGGTTATAGACAGCTGAGGGTGAAGAAGCCTGTATATTTTTTTTGTCTGTTACTGGGGTGTCATCCTTGTACTATTAGCAGACAAGCTCATTAATTAGAGGAGCTGAGTCTGGAACTAATACTCGTTTTAACTAGACACCATGTGTTCAACAACTATGAATTTAAAAAGTGACTTACGAAGTAGAGAAGTAGATCTGTAGTAATACAGTACTGGGGTGGGAGAGAAAAAATACAGTGTCGTCACTCCTAGGTCATGAAAGGAAAGTCTTGAAGGGATGCTTTTGGGTTGCTTTTTATCTATGATTCTCAGATGCAGCTTAAACATCTTAATATTAAATATGTTTAAATAGCTATTTCTTCCACAGCAAGAAGTGGGGGGATCTTATGAGCATCTTACCAAGTTTTTTATGCTGTGACACAGTCAGACATTCCCATAAGCTACAGATCTTTGAAGTTTTCTTCAGGAGGAATACAGATTGAGTTGTCTTCAACAGTTGAAGATTTGTGTGTGTGCATCACCCGAAATACCATTTATTTCAGCAGTTAAACATTTGATCCGGAGTAAAAGTCAAAGTACTATACTTACTACAAATCTGAGTGAGTAGAACACAGAAAACCTTTGACTTGATCAGTCTACACAGTTATTTAAAAAACTGAAGGCTTTTCCAAGGGTGGGGGAGGAAATGGAAAGTTTTTCGAACATCAATAGGAAAATTTGTACGCACAGTGATGACACTAAGTACTTCTCGTGAGCTGGCTCTAATTTACATGAAGTCTGAGAGATTACTTTGTTCTCATGATAATTTCTTATTAAATGGCAGATCTATAATCTAGAAAGACAGTATTGCAGGGAACAGACTGTTCTAACAACTGAAAAAGAAGCTTCCTCTTCTGAAATACCAGTCACTTATTTTGTTTACATAAATTCACAGCAAAATCATCTGTCAAACTGCATGTATCAGTATTGAGGACATAATTATGAAACCATAATGTAATCAATGTTCTGGTGGCCCGTCCTCCTTTCTTGAGGATTTTTTCTTTTTGGGTATAATTCCTCTGCAAAACTAACTTAAATTACTGTACTGTTCTGATGAAGCTTTTGTTACTGTCTCCTTGTCCCAGCTATACTTGTCTCTGGTAAATCAATACCAAATTAACATTTTGAGGATTCTGAAAGAAAAAAAGCCAAACCCAAACCATCATTTTGCCTGTAACAAACATTTCCCAGGATTCTGCAAAATTTTTCCACTTGTAGTAACATGAGACCTTATTACTAAACCTTTGAATTTATCTGGATAAATACTTCATAATACTTAAATACTTCATAATACTTATTATAATTCTTATATCTCGTAATATGAATCATAAACATAAAGCTTTGGGGATTTTTTTTCTGAAGTACAAGGATCAAGAAAATACTGTCATCTTTCAGTGAAGGTAGAATGCTTAGTTATGACTTCTGCTTTCAGAAACCCATTGACAAACACTGCTGTTTGACAGCCGCTTTTAAAGAAGCAGCTTGGGTGTCTACTTAGATGGAGATTCAGTGTCAACATAATGTGCTTATCTAATTTATTTAACAATGAGTTAAAAAAGTGAAGGGCTGGCAGTCGATTAAAAACTGCAGACTAAAGTACTACATGTTTTGGATTCTTAAAAGACACTAGTGAAAAAGCTTCATGTTAGATGCGTGGGTTGTCAGCAGCAAATCCTTTCTTTGCAACTGATTAGCATTGGTGCTATATGCAGTAGGGTGATTAAATGTTTCTAGCTATTGGTATGAGTGTTGGTATAGGAGACTGTATGTTTTAAGAGTGGTGTCCCTTTGGTTCTGATATGATAGTCATAAATAAATTTGACTAGCATTTGTTTTGTTTATTAACTGACTACACCGCTAGAAAGTGGGTTCAGGCTTTAGATATTACCTACTGGGGTTTATGGTTTGTGAAATAAGAAATAACCAAAGAACAGAACAAAGATGGAGTGATAACACTAAGCTTAAAAATTGTTATTGGAAGCACTTCCAAAACAAATGGAACTTGAGCAAAGCAGAAGGTGATGTTCTGTGGCAAAAGGTTGTGGTTTTATTAGGACATCAGATGGGACAGGGGAAGGAAATGACAAGAGTGCGTTTCATAAGAAGCAGTGCTCAGAAGAGAGGGATGCTGGGTTTGTAGTTAAAAGAACACTCAAGAGAGGATCTAAGAGAAGGAAAATCACACATACGAATTTATTACTAAACAGTGATTGCTTTTAAGGATTCCTTGTATAAAGCATGAGTGCTGTGTATACAAAAGATGAGTCTTTGAGGATGTAATACAGTGCATCTTGTCAGTGTATCTACAGGGTGAGAGCTCTCAAACATGCAGTTAAATGACTTTGAATTGAGGGGTGTAGAGTGGGAGATAGCCACTGGTAACAGGGGGACTTGGGCTCTGTTTCTGGGTGGATGGGGGAGAATAAAGAACCTGTGCCTTGGAGCTCTACAGAAGTTGCTGGGGTGAAGCCAGCACTGCAGTCACTTCTGAAAGTTTAAGACCATACAGACAAAGGACTATGAGACTTGAGCGGTGTTTTGGTACAGAGGAAGTGCAATGCAAAGAGGAGGCCTGCTATGAAACTAAGAATGTGCTGTGCAGTAGGAAGCTGTATACTAATCCAAACTACTGCTCTGCAGGCAATGCTAGCACCAAAATGTAGATTTGGTAAGAGTTTTGCATAAGCACTGCCTATGCTTAAGATACTCCTTCTTTAATTCAATTTGATTTTCATTAAATATGGAGATGTTATTGTGACTTAAGATTTATTGCCAGCTTCACGTGTTAAACCCTGAATAGTTGGACAGCGTATTCCTGGAGAGGAGACGTAAGCTGACTAAGGTAAAACAGAGAGACTGCGAGATTTAATTTGATAAGATTTGTAAACTTTACTAATTTGATTGCAAAGCACCTTTTAAGCATTTTGATACTTTAGTAGCTTCTAATTCTGTATCTCTGCCAAGGGGATTACAAGGTGTGATTTAAAACCAAATCAAAGCGCATAACAATCCAAAGGGCTTTAAGGGTGTGCAAGCAAACACAAGGAGTTTGCATGCACAGATTTAATTAAAAACAACAGTTTTGAAAAATATTGTCAAAAATGGGAATAGTCTGAGTGTCTTCTCTGCACTCAGATTTCCAGGTTTCCTCCAGTTACCAATGTCCGTTTTACAAACAGACATTGAGTGGTAAGCCCAGCTGGAGTTCTCTGTCTGCTACTGAAAGTTAACTTAGGCCTATTCTGATGGTAGAAAGTGGTTTATTAATTTGCTATTTCATATTGGTAGGAATACTTGTGTAGGCCAGAATATCTTCCGGAAAATACAGTCTGGAATAAGTACTCAGCAAAGGGAGATGGGCAGTGTAACTGAGCTAGTGGATCATTTCATTTTTAATTTGGTTATTAAGAAATTCCAAGTCATGTAAAAGTCAGAAGAATTTCTGTGACAAGTGAGAACATCTTCATTTTCCGGTGAGAATCAGCCATTATTAATTAAGCCTAGTTGATTGTTGTTTTTTCAGACTATTACATATATGGAGTCAAAATAATACACATTAAAACACTGGTAAATGTTTTTTGTTCTGTCTTCTTAAAGCGAATTGTATTGTTGAAAAACAAGGGGAAAATAGCAATGTTTTCTTATGTGGTTACAAGGTCCTATGTCTAATACAGTTTAGAATAGTTCATATAACCTCACAGTATTTTTTAAACTTCTTTTCTCTGTGACAACTATGTGTGTTCCAAAAGCCGCCTTTTTTATTTGGGAATTAGAACTGGTTTTTTGAAGAGAATTCATCCACAGCTTTAACTTCTCAACTGTTTTGTAATGTCTTTGGAACATTCAATTACTGAAAGGAAAGTATGGCAGGCAACAATTTTAATGTCCTGCTTATTGGGTGGAGACATGCAGGTTTAGCTTGATACAGTCAACAAGGGCTTTAGAAAACACACTTTGTGAAGAGCAACATAAACAACTTAAAAAAGCTTAAACAACTTAAAAAGTGTTTCAAAAATGGACGTATGCCACCTAGTAAAAAAGAGTTTTCATTTTAGGCAGACTATTGCTGAAAAAGTAATAACGGCTTCTGAACCTGTCCTGTGCTGTAAATCCAAGGAAGTAAAGTTACATCACATAAATAAGCAGTGATTAGGGTAGGACAGGCTGCTGTAGGAGAATTTACATTGTGCATGACAGGTTCCTGGCATTAACCTGGTAACTCGCCATCAAAGCTAAAACATCACAAAATAAGAGAATTTGGGAAGGCTAGCTAAGTGATGGAATGCATATTAGGACAAGCTGAGGAGTGGTTTTGGTAATAAGATTAACATCAATAGGGAAAACAAAACAAAACCCAAGCCCCATAACTTTTAGTTTTTAGGCATTTCTGTGCTTGTTTGTAAGGTAACACTGCACCAGTTTGCATTTGGAAGGGTGCCTCCCTTAATCCACATACTGACTTCTCTTATGTCTCTGATGCTGATGATAATTTCTCCACCTGAAAGAAATATGTCCAATTTCTGGTTCTGTTGCAGGAGGTGCAGTCTGACATAAAAGCTCTCTGCAAGGGAAATACCTTTTCTGATCTCGAAAGGAAGTGTTAGAAGTTGATAAGAGTTTTATCCAGCCTAACAGTGCTGCTGTTTGGGAAAACTGGTGCTGGAGCAACAGAAATGGAAGCTGGAACTACAGGAAAGGAAGATTCCTTCTCTTGCCCATCTTCCAAAACCAAACTAACAAACCAAAAAACCTGACCTTGGGAAGAGGTTAGTGTAGTAGTAGTTACTCCCACTTCCAACTTCATATTCTTCTAGGAGACAAGAAGCAGCATGGTGCATTCCTTCTTTCAGCTGAGTGTAGGAGTGAGAAGGATGTTAAATCTGAAGTTTATGTAGAAGTAAAATCATAGAATTGTTTGGGTTGGAAGAGACCTTTAAAGGTCATCTAATCCAGCCCCATTGCCATGGGCAGGGACACCTTTCACTAGACCAGGTTGCTCAAAGCCTCATACAACATGACCTTGAACGTTTCCCAGGATGAGGCATCTACCACCTGGGCCAGTGTTTCACCACCCTCACTGTAAAAATTTCCTTCTTTATACCTAGTCTGAATATACCCTCTTTTAGTTTAAAAGCATTACCCCTTGTAATGTTGCTACAGGCCTTATATAAAGTCTGTCCTCATCTTTCTTATAAGCCCCCTTTAGGTACTGAAAGGCTGCAATACGGTCTCCATAGAGCCTTCTCTGCTCCAGGCTGATCAACCCTACCTCAGCCTTTCTTCATAGGATTGGTGCTCTATCCCTCTGATAATTTTTGTGGCCTTTCTCTGGATCTGCTCCAACAGGGCTTCTCTTTGTGTTGAGGCCCTGCAGCTGAACACTGTACTCCAGGGGGGATTTAATGAGAGTGGAGGGGGAGAATCACTGTCCTTGACCTGTTGGTCATGCTTCCTTTGATGTAGCCCAGTGTGTGGTTGGCTTTCCAGACTGCAGGTGTTCATTGCTGGATCATGTTGATCTCGTCAGCCAACACCTAGAAGTCCTTCTCCCCAGGGCTGCTCTTGATCCATTCCCTGCCCAGCTTGTAGTTGTACTTGGGATTGCCTCAACCCAGTTGCAGGACCTTGCACTTGTTGAACTTGGCCTTGCTGAACTTCATGAGGTTCTCACAGGCCCACTCAAGCCTGTCAAGGTCCCTCTGAGTAGCAGGGCTCCCATGTTTAAGACCATGTATGTTTAGCTGGACACTAAAAAGATTATGTATCTAAACCTCCTAGTGGAGCTGGCATTTTAGCTGAAATGAAACAGTAGCATAGGGAAATCTCTATTCTTGATTTGGAGTTGGGGTGGAAGATAAAAGGCATACCACTGAGAAATTCACAAGATTTATACACATCTCCAACAGGGAAAGCACAATGTTTCTAAGAATGTTCTCATAAGCTTTATATAATGTTAATTATCTGTACAGGTGTTTTACCTGTTTAAAAGAAAAAAAGTCATAAGCCTGAGCACCATTGCCCACCAACACCCCGATTTCACATAGCTGCAAAAGGATAAAGTGTACAATGTTTGCTGGGATGACATACATGAGTATATTGGGTAATAAGAGCATAGATATTGATGCAGTTTGAATTAAATTAAAAGCTGTCAGCATGTAACACTTCACATCTGTTGCCTTCCGTGAGCAGATGCAGAGAAGATCAGATATACAGCTTAAACAGACTGGCAATCATAGAATGGTTTGGGTTGGAAGGGACCTTAAAGCTCATCTAGTTCTTCTCTCTCCCCCTGCCATGGGCAGAGACACCTTCCACTAGACCAGGTTGCTCAAAAGCCCTGTCCAACCTGGCCTGCAATGCCTGCATTACTGATGATACGTTCTAGTGATGGCAAGTGATTGAGTTAATGTGTTAGGAAGAAATTAATTCATCTTCTAGTCTCTGAAAAAACTGAAGTCAAAGCTCAGCAGAACAGTTAACATAGATAACAGTAGACAAAAGTAGTGTGTTCTGTTATTGGTTAAACCATGATAGTGGTCTGTTGCTGTGTTTTACCTCAAGACTTACGGTAAATTTACTAGCTTAGTTCTTCGCAGTGAGCATGGCGCATCCCTGACTTTCTCTTTTAAATTCTTTCTTGCCTAATCATCTTCACTGAGTAGGTATGGTATTTTCAAGATGCTTGTTCAGAGAATTCTTTGATACATTCAGGTTTTGCTGTAAGTTTAAGATGTTAATTTTAGTGTAAATCTGCATCAGCTTCTTTGTTTATTTTACTGCAGAATCTACCAGAGAATTTCAGTGATTGCAAACTGAAAAAGAAGGGGTTGGTGAAAAGGGTTCAGGTGAGTTGTTTTGTTGTTTCGAGTAAACAGAACTGAATAAGCTGTTAGCAGAAGGTGGTTGTTGAGTTTTTTCTTCATGATGGAAAGTGCAGTTTCTGTTCTTAAGAAGCATCTACCATTGCTGTGATTGCATCCCAAATAACATTTGTTTCTTATTCTCAGGTTTTTCTTGCCCAGTGTGATACCATTGAAGGAAATATTGGCCAAGAAATAGACAAGCTACAGTCAAAGAATTTGGCACTGGCAGAATGAGGCATTGCCCTACATAATTAGGAAACATAATTGCTCTGTGAGCAAGAAGAAAAGTTTGCTCTTTGTTTTGGAGCACGTATTCAGCTTTTTTTTTGTTTTTGTTAAAGCCCAGTCTGTTAGACTGGTACCAGTCAATCATTTCTTGCTGGTTGTCTTGTTTGCCACTTGGTTAGACCTATTATTTTGAAGAGAAAATAATTCCTGAAGAATGGCAGAAATAATCTTTGTGGTGAATTGTTATATACCTTATGGAGAAATGTTTAGTTAACTAAGTTATCAAGTTTGCAGTGATGGGCAGTTCTGTCTGATATATCTTTGAATACAGCTCAAAAAGTCTGTAACTGTACAAGTGCCGTAAGTTGCAATTGTAGGAGTTCAGCTTGATTGAAAAAGGCAAACTGAGACCACACCTGGGAAAGTCGAACATTATAGTAGACAGTTCAGAGCAATAAAAAAAATCCCTTCATTTGTATCTATTTAATGTTTGTATGCATTTATAAATAATAAGAAAGCTTGACTATAAGGGAGTCGTACCTATTTTAGCCTTAAATTGTCATAATAAATGGAATGTACTGTAACATGTATGGTACTTAATTTTGAGTGGTGCTTTAAGTTGTTACGGAGCTCCTTGATACAGATGTATGGTTTTTACATGGATTTCTGATGTACTGTGTTTTTTATAGATGATTCTTATTTTTTGTTTATGTTCCATCTTGAATTATGGTGGGAAATGAAATGAGATTACTTATGCTGCTCATAAACCAAGGGTTCAGTTCAAGCAACATATAACTAAGGAACTGTTTTGAGAGGGTTTTTTATGCTTTTTTCCCCATTTCACTGAATTCCTGATTCTGTATTTAATGCAAAATTGCTGTGATTATTTCTAGCCTGTTAAGGTAGTCAGTGAAGTTTTGTAACAGGTTACAAAGTGATAGAATTCATTTTAGTCATGCCATGCGTCTAAGGGTTATGACTGATCCTTGTAGTCGGATACATGCCACACTTTCCCTTCTCTGTTAGGTGGAAATTAAGCTTTTGCAGAAGGTAATGGTCAGCAGGCGCAGCCAACTTTGCAGTTGTTGGTCAGAGCCTGTAGCTATTGGATTTGTAGTGGTAGCTGTTTTTTCAGTGGTGCTTCTGGTCAGTAGGTCAGTCTTACACGCAGTGGCTGGTGAAGTAATGACTGGTAAGGAGCCTGTTTCTGTGAGGGGGAAGAAGAACTTTCATCTCTAATGAGTCAGGATGTTTAGAAATGGCCCTTAAGTAGTGAGCTCTTATCCTTATATGTGACTGTTTTAAGATTAGCTATCCTTTCAAGATAAAAATAGGAAGTGTGTGTAAAAAGATGTTAACTTCTAATAAGTTGTAAACCTTAAATAATACCCAAAGTGTTATTATTACAGTATTATCTTTGGTGTTTGTAATAGGAAGAGGAGCATTTCTTTAGTGAAAAATGCCATTGGACAAATGAAGTGATAGCCCTGCACTAGAAAGGGTCACTTTTATTTTAAAAACGCCTTTTGATTATACCAAGATTGGAGTTGCCATAATTTTTACTGTTAAATAACTTCTTCAGGGTTGTATTTTGTATGTAACTCCCGGCATCTGTGGAGGATTTCAAGGTCTAGACTCCTAGGAAGCTTGTCTATCATGTTAGGAAATGGTATGCTTGGTAGGACTGGGTATTTTTAACTAGGCTGCCAGTCTGGTCATGCTGCATTTTCCCAGCACTTTAGGAAGAAGAAGAGTTGGTTGTAGCCATTTTTGTGAAGCCCTACCTAGCTTGGTGCTGCTTCTGGACCAGATTCAGCTGACTCTTAAACCACCAGCAATGCTATTACATAGTTCAGGGAATTCAAAATTAACCAGTTTCCTGTGATGGAAAGGATGGATCCTCACCGTCCCAAACATAAGTCCTGTAATGCATGAACTTTCACAAGGTGCATATATAGTAAGTATCTTCTTGTGCCCATGGAGAGCAGTCGGAGCTGTAGTCATGGCTAGGGCAGTGTCTGTTTCTGCTACTTCTCTGTATTTTTCTCTTGGGCAAGAACACTGTAAGGCTATAGGCAGACATCGTCTTCCAAGCACTCCTTCCAGGAAACTTCTGGTTCTTGAGATGTACTTGTGTGAGTACATCCTCAGCCTGTCTCAAATCCAGGCAGATTAAGATATTCCATAGCAGATCTTATGATAATGCAGTATTTTGAGGCAAAGAGAATGGTGATGAACCTCTCCCACAAGCACATCTGGATTCAGCAAATGATGAGTGTCCTGAGCTGAAGTTACCTTGAAGTGGTAACTCCTGGTATCATATCAGAGTGTTTGGTTTCTAGGACACAGTATGTCTTCCGAATATAAAAATGAGTTCATTTTGGAAAACGGGTGGTTGTATTTAGAGTTATCTAAGACCTTCTAGAGTGGATTGACTTTTATACTTAGTTTTGAAAGAGGAGTCTTACACTTTGTTTTTTCATGATAGCCTTAAATTTCAGTAAAAGCAAACTTCTGTGGTTTTGAAAAGTGCAGCAGACTACAGCTGTGGGAGGAGGGGGAAGGAAGAGGAGATTTTAAATATTCTTAAGAGTTTGTAAAAGCAAACATAGATCTTGATCAACCTTAAGCTATATTATCACTGATTCTGTAGTCTAGGTGTACTGTGATACCTGTTTTTGTACTGAATCATTTCCTCACCCCAGCCATCTGCCCCGATCATGTCAAGAGAGGAGTACCTTTTGTTTTAGTTGCACTTACCCTGTCATCTTTCTCCAGTTGCTGTGTTGCTCTGGCCATGTTTACACACCTTGGATTTGCCATCCGGGCAAAACATCCTACTGCAAAGTTTGTGCTACAAATGGAATTACATGCTTCCTTGCCACGCTTTCTCCCCCAGCTCCTGTAGGCTGGTGTGAGATGAACCAAACCCGATGTTCAGGGAGCTGCAGAGCCTGAAGCCATGGAACTGTTTGCTCTGAGAACAGCATAAAATACACTGCTTGCAGTGGCATCCTCCCTCTGTGACTGCATCCTCCATGACCATGTATTTCTGAAGGTAATGTCACTGTAAACCTGGAGCAACACTTTAGGCTTTTATCAGTCACTCATGGTTTGGAGTGGAATACTTGACGTCATCTAACTTGGGGCTAGGGTTTTGGTTTTTTTTTTTTTTTTTAGTTATTTCATTGTGCCATCATAAATGAAAAGGTATAAATAAAATCTGGAAAGTTCTCTGTTGTCTTTGGTCATGATGTGGTCATGAAAGACTGTAGTTGAGCTGTGTTTTAAGTGGGGAAAAATGCGTGCTGCTCTCTGTTCTGGCATCTGTGGTGTTAGGGAGCTGCAGCTAGTAATGCTAGGCCTCGGATGGCTGCAGGGATCAAGCCTCCAATGTTACCGCGATTGCCAACAAGCTGAAACTTGAAGAAAAGCAGTTTTATTTTTGGTTTGGGATTTTCTGTTTTGGTTGGTTGGTTTTTGTTGCTTGGGCATTGGGTTTTTTGCTTTGAACGCTTTTCACAGTTGTATTGCTGCTATACAACGCACAGTTTCTGGATCTGGGTGCATGGGATGTACTGGGGGTTCTCTCTATTTCTTTTTTACTTATTTTGGGTGGTTTTCGGGCCATGTTTTAGAGAACTTATTCAGAGCCGTGGACACAAGCTAGTTTACCGTGCCTGCCTAGTTCTGGCGTGCTTCAGAGGCTTAACGAGTGAAACCCGATCAAGGCGGAGAATTGAGCCGCTGCCGTGCGAGCTAAGCTTGTTTCCACCCCTCCTCCTCCTCTTCTTCCTCCTCTTCGGGGGCGTGACCAGAAGCAGAAGCTCCGCCCCCACCCGCAGCCCTGAGTCCCGCCCACAGGCGCGCGCAGTCTGCGCCGGGGGGGCGGTACCGTATCGTCACTCTAGGCGCCGGGAGAAGATGGCGGCGGCCGGGGTGGGTCCGGGGCGGAAGCAGGTGCGGCAGGAGGAGCTGCGGCGCCTCATGCGCGAGAAGCAGCGGCAGAACGCGGGCAAGAAGCGGATCGAGTCGCCCTTCGCCAAATATCCTTCGCTGAGGGGGGTAGAAGGAAGGGGGAGGCCGGCGGGAGGGGCCGGGGTCCGCGCTGCAGCGCCCTGCTTCCCTTAACGGCGGCCGGCACGTACAACAGCCTGGGGCACCTGAGCTGCACGCTGTGCAACGCGCCCGTGAAGAGTGAGCTGCTGTGGCAGACACACGTCCTGGGCAAGCAGCACCGTGAGGTGAGCGGCTGCTGGCTTCCAGCCCGGGCTGGGCCGCGGTGCCGGTGACCCGCCGGCCCTGGCTGCGCGTTGGTCGGGGAGGGCGGATTTCGGGTCAGAAGGGGGAAGGATGGGGAGGTTACACCGCCGTTACGGAGGGTCGGGGTTTGCTGCTTTTTGGGGTGTATGCTGATAGCAATTGGGCATCAGCCGGGAGAAAGCAGCGGAAAACATGCCCGATTGTTTTGTCTTGGTTTATTTTCTGACAACCTGCGAGCCGATGGAAAAGGCCAGCACTTGAGAGAGTCGTCCCGTGCGTTTCAAGGCGCGAACTCTTAAGATAAAGCCTGCTAGCGACAGCTTTTAACTGTCACTTGTCTGCAGCTTGGAAAGGAAAGCTCCGTGGGATTGCTGTGTTACCTGCGGTCACGTTACAGCTCACACGTGGTTAAGAAAATAGACTCTTTTTTTCCCCTTCATAATTTAGCAGTAAAGATAACTTGTAAAACAATTTCAGGAGTTTGGAACTTGGGTGCAATCGTAAATCTGACTTCAAAATAGTATTAAATTCTGCCACTGTTTCTTAGCGCAAACTGAGAGATTGCACTTAGCTTTGCAAATACTGAGGAAAAGGCCAGAAGAAGTGAAGTGTTCCTAGCTGATGGCTTGAATTTTGAGTAGTTCATTGTGGCAAGGCACGGTGGCATGTCTTTAGTATTACTGCTGTGTTTTAGTTTTAAACCACTTAATATTCCAGGACTGTAGGGTAAGGTCAGCCTTCCTGCTTTCTCCTCCAGTTCCTTACAGCTGTAAATGTCACTGATCTTAGTCTTTCCATTCTCACTTGTACAGCCTTACGGTTGCCTACAGTGCAATTCCTCTGCCCCTATGTTTAATCTTTCAGGAGGCTGACAGAAACGTTGGTCTGTTTTGGTATCTGTGATGTCTGTTTCAGTGATTTTGTTCTAGAAGGATATTAGCTCACTCTCACAAACTATTCTAAAAGTGCTGTAATCCAGAAGTTCCTGCTAGGAAAGCTTTATAAATTTTGTATTTGTTACAGAGAGTTGCAGAATTAAAAGGCACAAAGCAGACAGCAGCTGGTTCAGCTGCTAGCACATCATCTCATCCCGTCAAGAGAAAAACTGTTGACACAGAAGATACAGAATTAAAAAGAGTAAAAGGTAAGGAGAGAAAAATACTTATCTACCCCTTGCAAGCATCCATCCATTTTACACCTTGAATGGTTTGGGTCGGTTTTAAAAGGGAAGAAGTGTGTCTTGCTCTTTCTCTGTCAGAAAATTGTACTTTTGGTAGTTTATTACCTAGTTTTCTTCTGGGTTATTGTGATAAATTAGGTTATGGAGCTGTGGGCTGCTCCAAACAGAATCATAAACAGTGTAAGTTAAACAGTTGAAGTGCTTGCCCAGAATTGGTGTTACTCTTTTTCAGTGGGATGAAGCCACTGGTTCACCTCAAAGCATGCATGAACGTTCATACTAAAGGAAAGATTTAGGTTTTTTTCCCTTGGTCCTACTAAACACGTAAATATATGAAATCCATGAAAATATGCTTTTGCGAACTTGCTGCTGTAGTAGGAGTCTGTCTGAGGGGTATTTGTTTTAAAAGCATGGATTGTAAGAAGTGACTCTTGGTTGTTACACAGGTACAGACCAAAAGCCGCATACGTCTACATCTGGGTAAGTAGGTCTTACTACATGTGAGTTTTTTGTAACTGTACCAAGTGCTGCATTCTCACCCTGTTCTTCCTCATCTCTCCTTCTTAATCAAGGCTAAAGGTGCAGATAATCAGCAGATAGTTTGCGCATTTTCTAACATGGGTGTGTATTCCTGAACATGGCATCACCTTCCTCAGTGCAGATGAGAAAATCGTGGTATGAACTCTAGAGTCTCTGACAAAACAGGAATTCTTTTACTGTTACTGTCAGACTTCTAAGGATTAATAAATATGCGGTGGTATTATGGAGTCAGCTAGAATGAGAATAACTAGATTGTGGCATGCACTCTAATGCTAGCATGCTGCAGAAGAGATAGTACTTTGAAATTAAGAGAAATGTGTATTTAAAGGTACGTTTAAATGGTATTCACAAAACCCAGTAACAAATATCATCATCGGATCTTTATTGATATTTTTGTCACTTAAAATTCATGTAGAAGCATATCCTGCAGCTGAACTCTCACAACTATAGTACTGTATTTGATTTCAGGGGATTGGGTTAAGCATCTTACTGCCACTAGAGATTTTCTGACGGTATTTGGACATCTTTTGTGGGGTTGGTAGATGTCACACGAGGTCTGCAGGTCTCCTATACACTTCTTCACAGGATAAATATCTTGCATAGATACTATGTGCTGTTACCTTGTAGAAATAGTGTGTGTGCGTAATTAACAGTTGAGAGGTTTGTTCATTATGAAACTGATCAGTATGGTTATTTTAAAATACAACCTTGAAAAATGTTTGGCTAAGCAAATCTGGGTTTTCTTATTGCTGAGCCTGTGTGGCTCTTCT